TCGAATAGTTTAGGATACTTTTCTTTCACTGCATCTGTTGTTATTGAATAGCAAATTTGTAGTAATCCAAGTGATACAGCTGTGTTGTATGATAGGAGGGAAGCTGCTTGTCCATTCACAACAAAAACTTCTTCCTTAATTGAGGTGTTTTTATAAGAAAGTGTAGCTGTAAAAACTCCTTCAAGCGGTAATGAAGTATGAGCATTGTATGAGAAAATTTTTGTTTTGCTAATGTTCAATGGATATTTTCTGTTGAGATTATCATATGTTTGTTTGCTAATCACATTGACTGTGGATCCAGAATCTATGGTGAACAAAAGAGTAGACTTGTCCACAAGAATGTTTACTTTTGGTGTGTTTGTTTGTATGCTGTTGGTGATATTAAAACATGATTCCCCATCAGTACTTTCACCTTCTTCTATGGCATGTGTTGTTCCTCTATGATTTTTATGTTTTGGGACACTCCTCTGCTGTTTAACTTGAAAAGATGGCTTGGAATTGGTTTTAGATGCTTTGTGGTGCTGTACATTGTTTCTGTGATTGGAAGTAGTGGGTTCTCTTTGATGATCTTTTATAGTCTTTGCCATGCAGACTTTGGCAAAATGACCCTTTTTACCACAATTGTTACAGTGATAAGATCTTGCTGGACATGTGATCAGACCATCTTCATGCCAATTATTTCCACAGTTGAGACACATTCGTTTTGTCATCCTTGAATGGTTATTTCTTTGCTCAAGTTGTTGAACAGGTTGTGCATTGATGTTCTGTTCAATAGACATCATATGTTTGTTGGTGGCTTCAATGCTTCTGCCCTGCTCCAAAAGTTTTTCAAGAGTAGGTTGTTCTGTTAGACCAAATCTTCGGAGCTGGCTGTTACTTGTGCTTACAATGATTTGGCTTTTGACTTCATTTTCTGTTTGAGTGAAATTACAAGTTTTACTCAACTTTAACAAGCGAGCATAAAACTGATCAATAGTTTCCCCAGCCTCTTGTTTGGCATTTCGAAAGATGAAGACTTCAAAGTCTGTGTTTGTTTTTGGGGTGAAGTAGTCATTGAGCTTTTGTTTAGACTTGTTATATGGATCAACTACTTCGGAGCCTGTTGCTGTATGAGTTTCTGGTAGAGACAGATAAAGCTCAAAAACATCTTCTCCAATCAGGTGTAGAAGTTGGGCTCTCTTTCTTTCTGGACTAGTGATGTTGGCGGCTACCAAGTAGTTTTCGAACCTGGCAATCCATTTTGTCCAACGGCTTCCAATGCTTTGGACATCCGTTTTGATATCCAATGGCTTAATGCCAGAAGACTCCATGCCGTTTCTGTTTGATGTTTGCTACTAGGTTGTTGCCTAATAGCGTTCCTCTATCACTCGTCGCCAAAATGTAGGATTGTTTTAAATACTTTTATTTAATTGTTAGACCTCGTGTGATAATCAAGATACATTTTTGTTTTTTCCGTTATGTTACCTCACTGACTGCATGTCAATTGTCCAAATGTCACGATCTGTCTTTCTGTCTAAATTCACGACAGGCCTACCAATACAAATATAAATGGATACCTTAGATCATCTATGATCTAGGATGAATACTTAATTAACATCTAAACACTACACTACCTGTTATAGATGATTTAATCAATAATTTGAGTACAGCAAAATTTTTCAGTGCTTTGGATTTAAAAAATGGATATTTTCATATTGATATGGATCCAGAATCTGTCAGATATACAGCATTTGTGGTTCCTAATGGACATTTTGAGTTTCTAAAAATGCCATTTGGCCTAACAAATAGTCCATCAGTTTTCCAAAGATATATAAACTATATTTTTGAAGATATGATTCGAAATAATAAGATACAAATTTACATGGATGATATCTTAATAGCAACAGAGACAATTGAAGAGAATATACTGATTTTAGAAGAAGTTTCTCAGCGAATTATGACACATAACCTTGGTATTCGATTAGACAAATGTTCTTTTCTGCAAACTACTATTGATTATCTTGGTTATAGGATAACTAATGGTAATATTTGTATAAGCCAAAACAAAACTGAAGCAATACAAAAGTATCCAGTTCCAACTAATCAAAAGATGGTAAAATCATTTCTAGGCCTGACCAGCTATTTTAGACGTTTTATTGGAAAGTTTGCATTTATCGCAAAACCACTCACAGATTTACTAAGTTCTAATAAAACATTCATTTTTGGTGAGAAAGAAATGACTGCCTTTGAAACATTGAAATTTGCATTGACAAATAATCCTGTCTTAAGAATTTATAATCCTGATCTCGAAACTCAAGTTCACACTGATGCAAGTTCAATTGGTTATGGAGCAATCCTAATGCAGAAGTTTGAGGACAATAAATTTCATCCAGTCTACTATTATAGTGCTAAAACTACAGAGCATGAGTCGAAGTACCATAGTTTCGATTTAGAAATGCTAGCTATAATTAAAGCTTTAGAAAAGTTTAGAGTATATCTCTTAGGAAAGCATTTTACTTTGGTGACAGATTGTAATGCTTTAAAAATGTCATTGAATAAAAAGGAAAAGAATAGTCGTATATTTAGATGGAGTCAGAGATTGGAAGAATTTGATTATTCTATTGAACATCGACCTGGTACAAGAATGCAACATGTGGATGCTTTAAGCAGGTGTTATCCTATAGAAATTGATATGGAAGATTGGTTAGTAGTTGCTCAATCAAAAGACAAAGAGTTACAAGAAATAAAAGAACAGTTGGATAGAAATCAAGTCAGAGACACTTATAATTTGGTAAATGGAAAAGTTTTCAAAATGATTGATGGTTCAAACTTGTTTGTTGTACCAAGAGGAATGAGGAAGGAATTAGTGATGAAAGTTCATGAGGATATATCACATCTTGGATTAGACAAGACATTAAAAGAAATTAAGAAAAACTATTATTTCAAGAATATGAGGAAGTTTGTGAAAAAGTGTCTGGATAATTGTATGAAGTGTTTACAGTACAATTATAAAAATGTAACAAATGAAGGATATTTACATTCCATAGAAAAAGGTGATCGACCATTTGATACCATACACCTGGACCACTTGAAAATTCCAGAAAAGACTAAGCATGGTTATAAATATATTCTGTGTATAGTGGATGCATTCTCGAAATTTTCATTCCTAGAACCAACTAAGACAACAAATACTGAAGAAGTGGTCAAGATAATGAAAAATCTTATCAAAATTTTTGGGACGCCTAAGAGAATAATAACTGATCGGGGTAGTGCATTCACCAGTCAAGTATTCACCAACTATTGTGAAGAAAACAATATACATTTGGTAAATGTTGCTGTGCAAACACCAAGAGCTAATGGGCAAGTAGAGCGGTTGAATAAAGTAATAATGCCAGCTATATTAAAAGAATGTGAAGAGCCAGAAAGATGGACGGAAGTTTTAACCAAAGTTCAATTATCCCTGAATTCAACTGTACAGCGGAGTATTGGGAAAACTCCGGCAGAAGTATTTTTTGGATACAAAATAACTTTGAATAGGGATTCAACTTTAGAGGATCATATTCGAGAAGAAACAAACGTGAATAAATTTGTAACGGAAAGAGAAGTAACACGAAAGGAAGCAAAGGATAAAATTAAGAAGACACAAGACGAAAATGAAAGGAACTACAATAAGAAAAGAAGGCCACATAAGACTTTCAAAGAAGGAGACTTTGTAATGGTCAAACGTACTGGTCCAGAATGTGATATAAGTCCAAAGATGTCATCAAAGTTTGTGGGGCCTTATCAGATTACAAAAGTCCTGGACAAAGATAGATACTGTGTAGCAGATATTCCTGAATTCCGAATATCTCAGAAGCCCTACAACGCCGTGTTAGCCCCAGACAGAATAAAAGTTTGGAAGGATATTCAGAGTGAAGATGAAGCAGATGAGGAAGATGAAAGTGAGGAAGAAAGTGAAGATGAAGAAATAATTAGAATAATAGTGGAAGAGCCTGCCAGTGATGTTGGGTCAACATCAACTCAGGATGGCCGAACTGTAGGTGTCCGTAGCCGTACCTAAACAAAAAAAGAAAAAAGAAGAAGAAGAGGATTAGGAGAGGGAAGGGGGAACAATGAAGGGGAAGATCAAGAGAACAAGAGAACATGAAGATTGTTTGGATATTTTTTTTTATGTATTTTGAGACCTAAAAGTAATAAATAGTGACCAGTTTAATTAAACCTTCAATTAGGGTTCTACAAAATACAGATTCAAATACCTTTTTTATTTCATTTATTCTCGGAATTTTGATAAATCTTTTTCAGTATATATATATAGGGGTTCGTTCATTTGTTTTTGACTTTTGACATCTGGACATCAAGAGCACAGAACTCAAAAATATTATTCATTCTATGATTTAAGGTAAGTAGAGAAGAAGAAAAAGATAATCGAAACTATATCAAAACCTGAAAATCTATCTGTTGCAAAAACTCATTTTTGCAATACGTTAAGCCTCATGTATTGTAAAAACAATAGATAAAGACTTAAGTTATCGCAAAAATGTATCTCATCTACTGTCATGAAATTTTATGTATTGCGAAAATTGCTTTTTTACAATACTATGCTTTCAATGTAGCGCAGATTATCGGTGTTTCTACAATACATGCATCCTAGTTTCGGAGAAACATGAACTCCATTTGTATTAAAAAGTAAAAAATACCTCCATAGTGACTCTAGTTCACTTATGTATAAAGTGTATAACCCGCAATCAGACAGTCTAGATATTTAACCGTCATTAACTCGTGACTTGACTAGTGTCGTTGACGTTCCATTCGTCATTTCTGATTACTGTCACGTCACAGTGACAATGTCAGTGTCACATATTGATAATGAATGACATGTTTACATACACAAGAACACAAGCTACATAATACAAAATACAAAATTACCGAGAAAATCAGGAGACACATAAGTTTTATTTGAATTCCAGCTACTATCTAGAAGAAAAAATAATGTAGACTAAATTGAAACAAAAAGTATCACCATGTCATTCAGCACAACTCAAGACATCTTTCAAATAAAACCCCTGTTACAAAATATAGAAATAAAACTATGTTCTAGAAGCGAGAGCGGGGTAAAACAAATACTAGCTCTAGTAACAAGGTAAGAAACGTCGTTTCATTGAGTTCTATCTCTAATTTGTCTACTTTTTCAGTGATGGAAATTTAGTGTTACATTACACCTATGGTGAACTGTCACCAGTATTGAAAATAGTTCCTTGGTATAGTGATAATCACAAACAAATCGAAGGGATTTGTTTTGACCCCTCTGCATCTTGGTTGCTTGTCATTTGTAAGAATACATGTTCCTTCAAAAATAACTTAAAATCTATGTAAATTCATTGTAGCTATTGACTGTTCCTTGTACATCATTCCTGCTCTAAATCTTGTTGACAGAAAGCAAAAGATTGACTGCAAATGGTCCCTGAATGATGTGACATATTTTCCTAAGCATCCCCAAACTCCTGAAGCTAGGCCCACTAGCATTGTTTGGTGGCAAACATTAGATTGTAATCAGAATGCCATAGTTGGATTTGAAAATGGGGCTGTGGTATTGATCAGCTTGACTGATGGTAGATGTTTGGGGAGCTGTAGTATTCCTGAGGCTGTTGACCATCTTCATTTGTGCCAAGATAATAGTTTGGAGATAATTTCTTTGTTGGTATGTAAATATTTCTTTACTATTTCACCCTAGAGACATCAGATATACCTAAGTGTAATGGTGAAGAAACAAAAGATTTTGAGGTGGTTCAAATGCAGGATCTGATTTAACCCGAATTCACTCACAATCTAATTTTGCTCTAAGAATTTCCTGATTTGAATTCAACAAACAATAGGTACTTCATGGGTAGATACTAATAACTACCTGTGTGGTCATTATTTGTAGACAAAGTGATTGTAGGTTTGTTCTGCTCTGCTTTCATTCTAGTGGAAATCACACCACTACTAATTGTATGGTCATAGATTAATGGTATGGTGTAGTTGAGTGAGTGTCAGGCTTTTAGAGAAAAGTAGACCAGTGTAAGTAAGAAAACCATCAATCAGGGCATTGGTGACCTAATCAAGATCTCCTTTCCTTGTATGTCTTTTGAAGAACACATATGTTTAATTTTCAGTTTTGCAACTGTACAGTACAAACAATTCAAGAGAAAAATATAGATACTATAATCTCTGCTAGGTCTGTTTCTCAAAGTGGTAAATACTATAATACACAAAATCAATAATAAGCTGTCATGGAAATGAGTTTGTGTGTATTCTGATGATATTGACATCTAGTTTGGTCTAGAGTCCAAATAAGTCCCTGACTGTTGCACTCTCTGATGCACTGGTATCAAGCTGGACTGATAATTATTAATTTTTTTCTGCCAGGGGAAAAAAGATTGAAATTTCATCTCAGTTGATGGGTATTAAATGATGGCTTTTATTATGCTTGTTTCGAAAAATATGCCAATAGCATCATCTTCTAGAAAGAACTGCAAGTCATTTTATCTTCACTTTTCTGTTACATGAATTACTAAACAACCACTAATTTTGCAATTTTTATATTTGATTACTTCAAAAAGAATGATAAAGATGCCTGCAAAAAGATGCCTGCAAAAAGATGCCTGCAAGGGAAGTGTAATTCCTGTTTAAAACATTATCTTTATCTTCCATACAACTTTGCTTTTAGTTACACAACCACACTTAGTTCACAATTTGTGTAAAATCAATTCACAGAGTTATACTGAAAGTTAGTTGATTTGATTACTTCAAGAGAATGACAAAGATGCAGGAAGATGCCTGCAAGGCAGGTGCAATTCCTGTGGATAATTTTCTGAATCTAATAAAATGTGATATCCTCTCAATATTGAATGGTCCTTTTTCCTGTCATGCAAAACAAAGTGTATTATACAAATTGTTAGATTTTAGAATGAAAAATAATTTTGTTCTGGCACAGTTGCCGTTTTGTGGATATGTTTTCATGACCAACCCTGTAGAAAACTTAAGAGTCGTCCAAGGGTTCAAGGTATATAAACTGACCCGGATATAATAAAGGACAGAAAAAGACAATGAAACAAAGGCAGCACTTTCAAACTGACAGAACAATAATCACAATTACTATCGTTCTTTTCAAAATTATCTTCAGACAACACACAGACCTAATTTTTATTATTATCTAGACATGTAGACCTCCATATCTCATATCTCAACAACCCAAAAATCTCATTCAAATTGCTCACCTGAAAACGCTTTGGCTGAATGTGCAGGAACTAGACCCAATCATCTAGAAACAAAATGTGTTTCCTGCACCAAATTGTCTACAGTCTAACAGTACCAAGAAGAGCCCAGCCGCGATTTTATCATAAATTTATGCCGAGGGGAAAATAATTCAAATATTTATTATTCTAAATATTTTTTATGTATAATCACAGCAAGACATTTTCAATTAGCAGTACTTCTTGAATCTTGAAATGAAATGTATATCCACTATGTATATGATATATGTATTTATCTCAATATCTGAATTACACCAACAAAATTCAAGGGGTGATTCTGTGATGAAACTGAAGGTGTGTATTTGGTATACATTTTTTTTGATAAACCTCTCCCCGAAAAAGTTACACCCCTCGGAAGATTATCGAAGAAAATGGTTTTCATTCTTTATTTTCCCTGTATATTGAGCAGAAGACACGAAACTTGGTAAATATTATTTATCAATGAAACTACATATTTTGAAATGTTTCCAACTCTGAAGTATGCTTAGAAGGGGTTGAAAGAAGAGGTTAAAATATTCAACCCCTAAGATATTATTTCTTGCATCTGTTTTGGATGAAAATTTGTCTTTAAAAAAATGGCTATAAAGCCCAATCCATTCACTAACTCTTTTCAAGGTTGGAATAAGTCATGACTTTTATAAAAAAGTCAAAAAAGTACGACTTTTTGAATTAATTCGGGCTTTTTTAAATCAATTCATTTGAGAACAAATCAAATTCTATTTACTTGAACAAAATACAAGAACACCGAAAAAATCTAAGTTTTTATTTCCGTTGAAAATCTCAAAGCATAACAATAAAATACTTAATATATGCAATGTTTGCAATACAAACTGGATTGAATGAAAAATTGTGTTTATGCAACTTATATTACTCATTCACAATCTCCATTATAAAGGCGCTTTACAGTTATTTAAAAAAAAATGCAGCTATTTCCATGGCGCGCCTATGGATTAGTATCACCTTGTAAAGCAATTATTCGTTGCATTGCAAGAAATGAGTCCGGTAATTTGTATTACTGGTGCAATTCTAGTGGTGACATGTTAGATTTTCGGAATTTCATGCATCATTAGATGCACATTGGATTTTACTTTTCTTGCCTTTCTCATGGTTTTTTCTACCCAACTCTTGACCCAACTCAAAACTCAGTGAGAAGTAATACACAGAATCTATGACAAAAAGACATTGCAAGCCGGTAATTCCGATTCAGTGTTGAATAGCCTTCATATCATTTTTGCCGGAAATATTAATTGGAGCAATCAATTGCATGCAACGAAATATTGTAAACTGTCAAGCGGCTCTTAGAAAATTCAGTTTTCTGCGTGTGGGTGCTTCCCGGCTGTCAGTTGTCAGATGCCATCGGTTATTCAATTTTAAACTGGTTTAAATTGAAGGTAATAATGAGATTTGTTTCCATTTGATAAATATTGAATTAATTCACGACTTATTTGAAAAAAGTCATTTGAATTAATTTACGAATTAAATCACTGACCTAATTCACATGAATTAATTCATGCCAGCCCTGACTCTTTCATCTTTAAATGTGTTTTCGGAAAGAAAACGAAACATTTTTATCAAAAATAAAGTTGTTGTAATGTTTCCCCCTCCATATCTCCGTAACCGTTCATTTAACAAAAAAGTTTTGAGGATCTTATTTTTACAGAATCCAATATAGATCATTTCCGTGTAGGGTGACCTTTGCGCTAAACCTCATATATTTCAAAGTATAGGCGAAAAAAACGAAATATTCCTTGTTTTTTACCTTCCCCACACCCAAACCCGACGCTCGGCGAAGTGTATCTTTTTACGATGTGTTGAGTTGAGGGAAGTAGATGGATCCCTTTGGCGCCGGAATCAACTTTTTTTCTGGGTTGATTGAGTTTTATCGTACTAAAAACTGTCGTTCATGTCATCGAGTCATGTCTCTTGGTGTTCAGAATCATAAGTGAGAATGATTAAGATATATGACATGACAGATCCTTAATGCGTGCGCCTACCTACCTACCTACCTACTAATTTATGTCGGTGAAATAACTACATAAACCGAGATGAACCAGTGAACAACAATATTGTGTTGAACTTTTTGAATTTTGAGTTGAACTAAATTCAAACTAAATAAAATGTACCTTTACTTGTTAGGTACTTGTTAGGTACCTATCCGTTACGCGTTGGACATCAAACTTCACACGCGGGAGGAAATGGATACCTTTGTTCCCTTGATATATAAATAGCTAACTCATCGAATCAAAAGTAGGCGTTTGCTCCCTCATTCAAGGACACAAAGCTGTCAATTTACTCCCACGGGAGAACAAAAACACTACCTCCCGTGAGACGTAAACTGAAATGGCTTCAGCACTTTTGGCAGAGATATACCTACCTATAAAAATTCGTGCCATCCAAATAATCAATGTCATCGATAGCATAAAACAAATAACAAATTCCTTTTTGAACTCCAATTATGATATCTCATATACTATCTCATATTCCAAACTTACTTAATCAATACTTTCAAATGATTTTATGTTGATTTTCGTTCAAATGCCGTCAATAGGCCTTTTCATTTAGATGACAAATGACTATCTCTGTTTATATCTCGCAACCAATGACAGTGGCGGCCATTTTCACCGAAACACTTACACCATAGTACCACACTTCTCAGTAACGAATAAAGTAACGTTCTTATGGAATTGAATTATTATAATACGACGAGTAATACGATTAATACACACCAGGAATATAAAAACAAAAATACTATGTTGTTATTTTTGTTTCTCAATGACGAATGCCCATGGTGGTTGACACTGTTGATATTTGACAGAACGTCAATAATACCCGCCATATTCGAAATGGCCAAATTTTGTGTTGGAACTACAGCCAATGAAACTTCACCTTCGCATCACCCAATAAAATATTGGATCTAACAACGAGCGCATGCGTCTTGAAAATATATCGAGATGAAAAGGCCTATTGTTCATGGCACACTAAACCTTTGTAGGCTTTGTAACGCATTGGATGCCTGACGCATAATTTCAAGGATGGTTCTTTCAAATATATGCGTTCGTGGATTACATCATATACAGTCTGTCTCACTTCTAATGGAAACACTCCTGTATCTTCCATAATTGTTTAGTTAGGACTCTGAAATTTGCAGCAGCAGGAGATATACTGAAAATACGCACTATGGCCAATTGGAGTAATCTTCAGTGATATATACTGCTCGCCAACAGCCATGGCACCACCCACATTTCCGTAAAATGATATTAGGAGGCAAGATAGGTTGAAAATCCCTTCGAATTCGAAATCAGGACGTCCAATTCACTAACTATTTGTCTCAGTTTTCATGGAAGCACCCCAGTATCTTACGTAATTATTGAAATTTGCAGGAGAAAAGGAGGGACTAAAAATCACGTCAGTCACGTAAGGTACTTCCATTAAAAGTGAGGAAGAATATAATTTTTCAGAACTGAAAAATATTTATGGAAAATATAAAAACAAGTGAACTGGACGTCTGCATTACGAATCCGAAGTGATTTTGAACCTACCTTGCCTCCTAATATAATTTTCCGGAGATGTGGGTGGTTCCATGGCTGTTGGCGAACAGTGTATTTCACTGAAGATGACTCCATCGGGTTCTAGTGTGTATTTTTAGTATACCTTCCGCTCCTGCAAATTCCAGAATCCTAACTCACAATTATCAAAGATACAGGGGTGTTTCCATTAGACGTAAAACACACTGTATAGAGGCTGATTCACGATGGATGGCACATTAGACGTTTCTGGAAAACGCAACGAAGGATTATACTTAGAATTTGGTTTCATGAATGATTAGTTGTGGTCTATCCACCTAAAATATTCGCAACACTGCGACGTTGCCGCTTATATCGAAAAGTAGCAATATCTTTGATTTTTTGAATGGGACACCCTATATATTATTGCATTTTTAGATTCTTCGCAAAGAGCTGATTTCATCGATCTATTACACTTGGGGTCTAGCGGGAATGATAACAAAGATATAGGGTGTGAAAAATAGAGATTTTTCAACTTCAAGAATTTCTTGTGTATTCTATTCATGATTGGTCAAAACGGTTTCCATGTCCCTATCTCAACTTTTCATGTACCATCAATTGATATTTAATTGAAATAGATACAGGGTGGTTGAAAATCCTAATTCTGAACCACCCTGTACTCACCTTATTCAATTGAATATCAATTGATAGTAAATAAAAAGTTAAAATAGTTTCGACACAAAAAATCTTGAAGTTAAAAAATCCCGATTTTTCACACCCTATATCTCTGTAATTGTCACTGCTAGACCCCAAGTATTATGGGTCAATGAAATCAGCTCTTCAGGGAGAATCTGAAAATGAGATAATATACAGGGTGTCATATTCAAAAAATCTAATTTGTTGCTACTTTTGAAGAAAATTGTCATTGGGTTCAAGGGAAGCGCCATCATCGATAATATAACCCTTGTGAATTTCAAATTTTTATCTCTTCAAATGAAAAAAACTACAGGATGTTACATGTCTCATGTGTCACCCGGTATATGATGGGAGGAAGTGGATACCTTTGCTCGCTTGATATACCGGGTGGCTACGGAAGTATTGCCCACGGAATATCTCAGTTATTGTATGAAGTAGGTTTGTGAAATTTGGAGCGTCGATATAATGACATAAGAGCTAAAATTTGAGCATATTGACATGTCGAAGTTAACTTCCGGTCTGGCCGGAAGTAACATCAACTTTCTTATTTTAAATGGAAACCCTATTTTTTTTCTCTCGCTTTATTCAGCATTCAATTCCCTTTTCAATGACATATCACAAGTTGGTATCTAACCAGAAACTAGATCAGAAAAAAATTATTATTGAAATTCACCGAGTAGGCCGTGGAAGCAAAATGAAAGCCAAAAAATGACTTTCTATTATATCATTAGAAAGGAATGGTTATGCTGAATAGTACAGGTAAGAAAAAGTTGTATGTTCCTATTTAAGTTATGGACCTACAGAGTATTGTTTCTTTCCCAATTTTTCCAATATTTTTTTGGCGGCTTTTTATAACGCCGACGAATGAAAATAAAATATCACAGTAGTAGCAACTGTTATCAAGTGACGTATGGTTTCCATAGCCAATTTTTCATTTTTTGGCTCTCATTTTGCTTCCACGGCCTTCTCGGTGAATTTCAATAATAATTTTTTTCTGATCTAGTTTCTGGTTAGTTACCAACTTGTGATATGTCATTAGAAAGGGAATTGATTGCTGAATAAAGCGAAAAGAAAAAACAAAGGGTTTCCATTTAAAATAAGAAAGTTGATGTTACTTCCGGTCAGACCGGAAGTTAACTTCGACATGTCAATATGCTCAAATTCTAGCTCTTATGTCATTATATCGACGCTCCAAATTTCACAAACCTACTTCATACAATAACTGATATATTCCGTAGGCAATACTTCCGTAGCCACCCGATATAAATAGCTATTATTTTCACTTTTATATTGATTATTTCTGTTACTTTGTGGTGGTTATCATCGTTTTAAATGCAAGTTCCTATATACTTTTGTTAGTATCTCGGTTTGCTTTGGAATTGAAAATATCGTACCTTATGTTTTGAGTGGAATTTTTCAAATTTCGGTGGTGAGAATGTTGAATACAGAGTTTTCGTTCATTTTGATTATTTTGTTACTTCGTTTCCTTTATTGAGATATATCCATTGTCATTGAAGATAAAAATACCAAATAATATATTATTGAATTCGCTGAAAGATTCACTTTCAAAATTCATAAAAATATAGAGGGGGTGTTATATGAAATAATGAACTTGACAAAAAATTCGAAAAATAAAAACTAAAACGGTTACCGAGATGTTCACTCGTTTGCCCATCATTGTGGAAAGTCCAATATATTGAACACGAATTTCAGCTTAGTTGAATATTTTGTTTTTTCTCAATCAAACATATAAAATAGTATTCAAAAACTCAAACCAAACGTAATTTATACTAGCTCAGATATTAGATAGATATTAGGTAGGTATTAGAGGTGATTGAATAAGAAATCATTTACCGAATTTGAATGAAGAAAAAATACCTTTTGAGCGGTTTATTCTTACGTTGATATTGTTGTCGTTGTTCTTTATTACCCCAAGTAACGTATTTGTTTATAATAGGGATATATAAACATTTGATATACAGATACATTAAAAAAAACTAATTAAAAAGTTTGGTATGTCAATATAACATAGTAATTGTAATAAAATCATTCCAAGTATTCAAATGAGAATACATTGCTCCGTTTATAGTGTCATGAGTATATATTTTTTCGTATTGACTTTGAATCTTGTTTCATCATCGCTATTTTTCAAATCACAAGGTAATGAATTATATAAAATGATTTCGTTGTAGAATACTGATTGTTTGCCAATAATGGAGTTATATGGGTTTGCTTTTAATGAATTCAACTGTCTCGTTTCATGAGTATGAATTGTATTAACTTCAGTAAAGTTCAAGTTGGATATTATTTTTTTTTCTCACAAAATGAATAAAAGAACAAATTTTCATTTGTGCTTCCCCAAATTGATATCAAATATTGTAATTTTGAGTAAATCAGACAGAAATATATATTCTTCAAATATCTAAGAGGAATGAAATTTCGAATTTTGTATAAAATGCCAGTAATTGGATTTACCTTTTTTCTCAGGTGATCTCTATGTTTAGTCAACGATAATTGTTCATCAATATAAAGACCTAAGAATTTTGTTACATCTAAATATTTTATAGCTTTCTGGTCAAAAAATATTATTGTTTTCAATATATCACTTTTTTTTTAATATACATATACGTAGATTTGTCATAGTTGAGAGTCAGCTTATGAATTTGTAGCCAAGCTGATATCATTTTCATCAAACCAGGAGAGCACTCATCTGCAAAACGCTGTCGGTTGAATTTGCATAATACCTATGAATTTGCATAATACCTATACCTACCTACTCTCTTTCAGATAAATGCAGTTAGTGGCCAGCAATATCGCTTGGTTCTTGAAAATCGCTCTACTGGTTATCTTTGGCCCCCAGAAGCTTATACCCAGGTATACATCCAAAAACAAAACAGATATACACTGCCCTGTAACGAAAACAGCCACTAAAAATTAGTTCCCAATTTCAAAGTTGGTTCTGTCCCCAACTCTTCATCTTTTTCGGATGATTTTTTCTTCAAACTGTAGAATGCTGTGGTAGAAATTTTCATTCGAACGATAACTTGAGCTTATGTGCAAGAATTGGAAGGTACTCTTTTGAGTGGCTGTTATTTTTGGGGGTGCAGTTTCTTTTAAATATTATGAACCACATTTTGTTCTAGACGGAAGATTCAACTCGTTCTCGACTATATAATCTCAAGCAAATAGGAGTCGATAAACTAGTCTCTCTAAAACAGAGGCTTTCCGAAGCTAGAGGAGGGCGTAGAGATAGTCAAACTAGTGAGAGTGCTAGTGAATCGTCACATTCAGAGTCTGTTCATTCAACTCATACTGGACCAGAGTTGCTGCCACATTTATGTGATACTTATTTTTCTCCACAATATGCAAGGAATAGATATTTGTTTTCTGCTCTCTATAAACCTACTAGCTTGCTAACCGTAAGTAGCCTCGATGATATCTACAATAATATGCCGGATGGTGCCTTGAATTTCTGTATTCAACCATGTATTACAAAGTGAAATCACCAGGTAGCGTGACTAGATCGAAATTCCTCAAATTTTCCTGTAACACTAAATCGTTGATTGATATATTACGCTTACGCTGGGAAGATGCCCAACCTTATGGGGCAAAACGAGGTCCCAAAAAATCTCACAACTAGATGGCGTACCATAGTTCGAAATCTCACATAGTGGCGGCGATAGTGTCGAACGATGTCGGAGCAATACTTCGTAATTTGACGGGCAGGTGCGCCACTTACGAAGAGAATCTATTGGAATGCAGATGGCGTGCGACTTGGAACAATTAAACAATCCATAATCCAGAACGCTTGTATCGAATCCACGATCAATCAGTACGATTCTAACTAATATGGCGGTAAATTCGAATTTGTTAGTAATAGTTGTACTGGATGGGCTTCTAACGAGCGCATCACGGACGTGAGATCATGAAAAAAGTTTATACAAATCGAATTGGAGTGAATCACAAAATTTGATGTCTCAACAATAAATGCTTCCATTTTTGGCGATTGTGGAATAAAACTGGTCAGCGGATATCAATATATAAGCTGCTCATAAATTTAATTGAAATTCACGAACCTGGACCAGTGTTGTCACCTTAGTGTATTTTACCCTAGAACTGCGATGAATCTGAATGGGTCTGTTTGAGTGGAATTTCATATTTCATTTTGTCGAATTACTAAATCAAACGATAATTCACTGTCGCAAATCATTTATTTCTTGTCAGAGCTATGTACAATTTTTGAAATTTTTATTATTATTGAAATTACTGATATTTATCACATGAAAAACGCGGAACATTGCGTGACAATTCTATACCGCTATCAATCCAAAGTATTTTATACTGGCCACAGCCGTCTGATAGTTGAAGACGGCTGTGATACTGGTATATGATCCGACCTATGTATTGCCGAAACTTGGAGTGCCAATAATTTCCTTTGATTTTTGTGGGGCGGCCGACTCGGTGCGTTTGTCGGCGATAGGGCTGCCAAGCCGTCGTTTGTTGCCCTAACAACACAAGTACATCCTAGGGACTTTCCAGGGACGTCCCTAATTTTATACAAGGACATCCCAGAGATATCCTTTGTCGGGACAGAGTACATACTAGGGACGTCCCAGGGACATCAGCTGGTTGACAAAAAAAGCATCCAAGGGATTTCCGTCTGGTACGTCCCTGGGATGTACCAAGTACGAAGAAAGGATATCACGAGGAGGTCCCAAGGATATTCCAGGGACATCCCTTCGACAAAAGAAAAAAATGTAGATCGAGTATGGCTTGAACCCGGGACCTTTAGCTCATCAGGCACGCACTTTACTCCATTGGCTGATATGCCTTCTGAAGATTTATGTACCAAACAGATTTTTAAACAGGACCAAACTGCAGAAACCTGAATAAATACAACTTTGTTAGGATTTGGGTATAATTATTATCATTCGTGGATGTTTAAGAATGAGGGGCATTATGCATTTACGATTTCTGTTTGCGAAAAATGGTCATTTCTTGAGAAGTTCTGAGACAATTTTCTTTATTTTCATTACAATTATTTAACGGAAAAAACCAAACATTTTCATAAAAATTCAACTCAATATTTTGATGAAAGTCAATGACTCTGATGTGAATAGGTATCAGATATTTCAAGGACACAGGATAACCTATGGATGTACGGGGCCGGATGCCCAGCGAGCATGTTGGCATGAAGATGTAATTTCGAGACGTAATATGCACTGACCAAAGAGGTTTTTGAAGGATATTGAAGTATTGTTTTTGTTCTTCTGTGGCATTTCTTTGTTTGCCTACTGGGATGTTTTAGAAATGTAGGCATGAGAATGTTTTTCGAGGCGTAATATGCACTTCCCAAGGAGGTCTTAGAAGGATATTGAAAGTATTGTTTTTGTTCTTTTGTGCCCTTCCTTTGTTTGCCCCACCACAACGTCTCATGCTTACGTCACAATACGATGATGAATTCTGATTTGTTTTCGATTTTGTTCTTCTTGTTCGCAATTGGCATTCGCGTTTGCAGCGTGTCACGCTTACATCACGCTGCTAACGAACAGAAAGGAATTTGGTGAAGTTTATTGTGTCAGATGCAAGATGTGTTGTTCGATGATTCAGTGTAATCAATATATAAAAGTACGAATTCATCAATACACAGCTTCTCCGCAGTTGCAAAATTATGCATTGTGGAGAACATTTCAAAAATTGGGAGACCTATATATTTTCAATTATATGTCTGTGTGTAGTAAGCACTATTCAGAAACCGATTAAGAAGGTAATTTCATATCAGGAAAATATTTTGATGTTCAATCTATTTTTAATGCATTTTTTCATTCAAGGGAAATGGAATCCTAATGCAGAAGTTCATTTTGACAAAAGGCTTCAGAAAAGTGCCTCGAAAATGTTTTTTTTACAGCGATTTAATGTGCGCAAGACGTTGTGTCCATGAAAAGGCTTTAAAAAGAACTAGGGAGAAGGTAGTTTCGTGACATATCAAGGACATCTCGATAATTGCCGCCTGTGGCTGTTCTATAATAGCTCTATTCATGTGTGAACAGAACATCGCAGTGGAGGTTCAATGTCTCGAAATCTCGTACTTTTAACATCTCTGAGATGTTGTTGTGCTTGCTGGGTGTCCACTGGACAACCACTGCGGGACATCCCCTGGATACCCCAATAATGTCCTTGTACCGTGTGACAAAAAGGGTACGTACCTAGAACATCCCTGTGTTGTTAGGGCGGAGATTCTGAGCGTTCCGTAGTCTGTACTCCGTTGTTCTGGAGCGGCAAAATCGATTCTACTCAGAAAAAGTTACTGGTATCACAAAATATCAACGCCGATTTCATGATTATATATCGTGGCATATAGACTGGAAATGTAGCTGTTTTCTGTTGATTTTGTTTTTATCTCTTCAAATATACCAAAAAAGAATTCATATTTTTCAACAACTAGATACTGTAAAAAATGGTTCATAAGCTTGCAGCATCAACTCTTGTAATCCAATAAATAAATGAATTATTCTATATATGTTCCAATAGTTATGACTCACTCTGTATATTATGCCTATTATAGATGATGTATTTTATTTCATTTTTATAGTGAACCATTAACAATCAAGGATTCAAAGATATTTGACTATTTATTTTTTATCTACTGATGAGACTCTAAAAAATTATCACATTCAGATTGATTATATTATCAATATTTTGTAATGTCTTATTAATACAAAACTTCAAAATGAATACAAATTGAGTGAAAAAAATAATCAACGAAAAAGGCGTGAGATGTTTTTCCAGATATACAAATTATATTGGTCTAGGGTCTAGGCAAAGTATGACAAGTTATTCACAAGGGAATTTAAAAAAACGCCACGGAGTAGGAACCCAACTGAGTGAGAGATCATAATATGTTCTTCTCTCTTCCGCAAGGAACCGAGGAAAAACTCAATACTGTCCATGGGATTCACCGGCCGTAGCAAACATTTTTTTATCGGAACCGGTCGGGCGGGTCTGGTCTCATCGTAGAAGACAAGGATAAACAAAAATTTCTGGAGCGATAGCACGCGGTGGGATGGGATCTGTAATTCTGTACAAAAGTGTAGTAATCTGTACAATTATTTCAGCCATGTTCTGTGTGCCTAGTGGAGTCGCTACCTCACAGTGGCTAAACGATAGACGAGGGGATGAGCGGGGCATCGACTCGCAAATAACACAGGTTGGGCATCTTCCCAGCGTAAGCGTAATATATCAATCAACGACTAAATGCTGAAGCCTGTTTTTTTGGCAAAATTTCAGATACTTTGGCGTGTCCTATGTTAAAAGATAGAGAAACACAAGTTTTTGTTTTATTTTGATAGGCTCATGTTTTCTTTAACTTCCACTGTGAAACTTCACATGCACTTTTCCGTTGCAATTAAACAGATGTGAAAATCATCCAAAAAAAAACAACCTTTTCTCCCTATGGACGTGTATACAAGGAGATGGTAGTACTTCCCTCAGAATCGAATATTCTGTTCAAATCTTTAAACAAAGTGATAATTATCATTTGAAAAATGCATTTCTTACACATTCAATCCATGAGATACCTACCTATCGTTCCTTTATTTACATCAAAACGTATCTGCCTACTGATTATCGATTACCTATCTTTTCAAAATGGAAGACTATATTTCAAAGTAAAAGTATTTCACGCCCCTTTACATATACAATTAATAGCGAAAACTACAAAAAATAAATCATCAATCTCTGTCAAAAGATTGTATCTTCAATGCATGTACCTAGCATCAATTGTGTAGGTAAATCATGTATTATATATGATCGCAAATAAACAAAAATAACGTTCGGTATGTAGTTCATTCAATTGTTGTCCACATTATGTATGTATGTATGTATGTTCGGGTTTTCTCTTCTTTGTAACTGAGTTTGTAACTAATTGAATCAAATAATTGATGATTATTCAACTTATCTTAAATCTTTTAAAAAAATCATAGCTTTCCAAGAACACATTTTTGCAGCAGAAATTCCCGACGATCACCTTGAGACACCCAATATTTTCGCATGCCGTATATTTTATTGATATAACTGAACCATATTTTCTATCACCGGTTTGTTATGTAACCGGAACCCCTCTCACATGTCTGAAAGCATTTTGCGTGCCTATCCACCTCAAATACGCACGATGTTTCACTAAAGAAACAGGGATTTCTTTTCGTGCAATCTTATTTAAGAAAATTCGAAAGCAGAACTATACCTCACATCCCAGTAGCACAATCTATTGGACAATTGAAACATGTCAGCCTGGTTAACCATCATTGACTGTTAAGTTGGATTCTATTGACTTTAGTTATCAATAATTCAGTTGAAAAAATTGCAAAATATTTCACAATAATGGAATTACTTGTAATTGTATTTCTATTTTTAATTGAGTGAAAAATTCTATCAAAATTATAGAGGGTAGTTACAGTTTGTGGCGTTTTATACAATTTTGGAGAAAAATCTATTGATTGGAAATACATCACGAGTACACAATGACTCCTTCGTTTTTCATGTTATTTTCGATAATTTTCACACTACTTTGAATCAATTTTTGGATGAACTTTTCACATCAAAAACATCGTTTAATTCAAAAATGATTGCTGAACTTAATGAAGCAAAACAATATACGGCAACATTATACGGGAACAAGGAAAATTTATAAAAGTATGACATCAATTTTCTCTTGGTTTACGAGCGGTTGTATCTGAAAAGGTACTCATAGTTTAGGGGTGCCTGAGGAGACTAAATTCAAACATAACAATATTTATTATAGTATAGAACGTTATGGATAGTGATGAAATATAAATAAACAGTGAGCATGAAGACCTTATAACAACTTACATTATAATTACCATATCGACGGGAACCCCAGACCAAACTAACTCAACTTCGGAACAGTACATGTACTATATGTATATAATACAGTTTATTAGACATGCTTGTTTCTCATCAGAGATCCTTGGCCAGTATTCATAGTTCCATTTTAACGGATGATTTGATTAGCTTATTGTTTATAAAATCCACATGGTTCGAACTTACAAATATATGGAACCATTAGCAGTCAAAATCAGTTCTGAACTTCTGATTGTTGCCAAATCTCTTTCGAAAATCATAGTTTTTTTTTCTATTCACTCCAATATCTCAGTGATCATTAGAGAAAACAAAGGGTGTCAAAAAGAAAAGTTGGATATTGATGGTAATAGCGTACCTTTAAAAATGCTCTCGCAATCTTTTGTATCATTGTGTCTCATACAATACCCTATTTCATTAATCACTTGAATTTCAGAAACACTCTGTATATCTCTTGATCGGGTAATCCATTGAATTTTCGAGGGTATGAAGGCTGATGGCCGCCTAGATGACCATTTAACTGGGACTCCTAGTGGTGCACAAATAATGTTTCATACGAAAATATATCATTGTGTTTTTGTTTTCAATTATTTAAACTTGGAATTCTTTTTAGGTACATGCAGTTGATGTTGAATCAGCTCCTCTTTATATTCACAAATTACCACAAAATACCACAACTGTTTTGTTGACAGATCGATTAATGTACGCGGTGAATGATGATGCTAACATAGTTTCTGTGTTGAGTTCACAGTTGTCCGAATGTAGACTTGAAGGAGATTCTGTAAGTCGATATTATCCTCAATATTATCCATTTGAAATTATTGATATCTCAAAGGAGATATCATAATTTTATTCAGTAAGTTCAAATTAAGAGTGAAGTTATTACTGAATTTTTATTTTGAATCTCATTTATTTGACAACCATTCAATGGGTAATCACTTTGTGTACTTTCTAGTTTGGATCTACAAAAGATTGAATAATATTTTTTTCAGGATTTCAATAGTGAATCACTAGTCGCACAATTTCGCATTGAAAGTGGAAAAATCCTGAAGGTATTCAGGCTTGTAGATTTATCTTCGGTTAGGTTAAGAAAAAATAGAGACGATAATAAAAAAGACAAATTATTTGAGTTACCAAAAACTGCTGATGATCTGAACATACAAAAACCGAGGATCGATACCTGTGTTATTGTTACTGATAATTGTGTTTATAAAGTAGTTGTAAGGTGAGTTAAAATTCAAGGTAGTCCAATTTTTTACGAGCATCTTAATATGCAATGTTATTTTTTCACTAAAATCATATCAAATCAAATCAATTAACTGTATGCATAATAATTATTACATAATATATATTTTTAAAACATGATTGAATAGTGATCATAAAATTAATAATATACTGCTAAACATAGGTAAAGAGAACTTTCAGCAAATATGATCTCAAATTGGTTCTAGATCTCATGATCGTGAAAATGTATAGGGTGATTCATTTGAAATTCCCAAATTAGTTGTTGGGGTAGAACTGGCGGTAATCTGGCGATTTAGTTTTGAATGTAAAATTTCAAAAAGCTATCTTTTTATCAAATGCTCATGTCATTAGTTTTAGCAAACCCAAATGAATCAACAGATTCAAAATACTCTCGTCATCTTGAAAAACTTCAATATTCTTATAGAATTCAACATGAAACAATTATGTCCCAATACAGCTTTCGAATTAATTTGAATTGATCGTTTCTTTTAGTTGTTCTCCCATTACCAAATTTGTGCAATATGTAACAGAAGAAGGCGACTTGCAGAAGGCGGAAAAATTCTCCATAATTTTCGGCCTGAACATTCAGCAGCTCTTGGAAAGTTGCGGAGACCTTTTTATTTCAAGAGGGGCCTACCACTCTGGCATCATCCTGTACAAACAGGCGAAAGTGCATCTGCTGAAACGAGTGTTGAAACTAGCGGTTTCTGTTGATTGCAAAGTTCTGCTGAAGTTTGTCCATTTGTGTTTGAGTGCTAGCAAAGTGGATATGTCAATTGCCACTAAGATTCATATAGGAAATTTGGCAGTTATGGCTTACACAGAGTTGATTTTGAGGTATGGGGGGTTGCAGAGGATATCAAATACTAAGGATTTCATGTGAGTACCCGAGGGAAGAATCTATCTATAATTGTCCTCTCAGTCATGGTTTTATCAATTTTTGAAAAGCTATTTTACAGCTCCATAATGTCTAACAATTTGTAATCTACAGATCCGGCTCGTTTTTTAATAATATTTCGACAAATTGGGTGCAGCACCCAAACATTTGATGATGTTCTTAGATGCCATACAGAGACAAGCCACTCACCACATAAGTGATGCCACACTCACTAATTCCTCGAAAAAACAACATAAATACATAGTGTCCATTTGAAAGCAGGCCACTCGCATAAATTTGTTATTTATAGAGCGGTTTTCACGAATTTATTTTTCGAAATGTAGAGGGGAAAGAAGTGTATTTCGGTGCTGAGCGGCGTCCATTTTTTTCAAAAACCAATGACTATTAGATCACGTTCAGTGATTATGAAATATTATATGAAATAATTTTTTTTTGTGATATAAGCCCATTAACTATAATAGCAGATGGAGGTATGGGATAATAGAGCTCTGATCAGATTGTTATGTAGCTAACACCAAATACTAATATTCTGTCAATGATCTGAAAGAATATCCTCAAGCTAAACACAGTATCCTCTGAAACAAAAGTAGTATGAGGCTGTTCTGTGGCGTCATCCCTATAAACAACTTGATGAAATATATGATAAGCTTCTCGCAGTGACGATTTGTCTACTCATATAAATTGTGGTGGGTTAAATCAGTCATTAATAAAATACCAGACGATCACAGAACAACAATACAGGGGAGAGAAAATGAAAACGATAGTTGTTCATTATACCAAAGCATTCTTAACTAATTGAATGAGTCATTACAGTAAAATGGGAGGTTATTTATATGGGTCATTACAATTAAGGGGGTAGTGTGACAGCCGTCATTTCTTGCATGTGTGCTTCATCTTTCGGCTCCTAGTTCGTCTTAGAAGATCCTGTAGGCAAAACAATAGTTTTGTGTTATTACTGATAATCATGAGTTACAGTACTACAAATTATGAATTACAATAATTCACCATTTCCAAATCATATGTCGTAACTGATTCGTCTTCTTTAAGATTGTCTGGCTTGTTCAGTAGAGTCGTCATCGGAGTCGAGTTCTTGTTCTTCTTCTTTCTCCTCTTCTACGGCTGCTCCTTCTTCTGCTTCCAGATCACTAGCTAGAATTAGATCACGCCCATTTATTAACACCTTGACTCAATCACTCGTCGTAAAAAAAGGTTACTACTTAAGTAACATACTGTGAAAAGAACTCGATATTGAAGAACGTAAATACTCGCTTGCCAAGGGACGATAAACTGTGTCCCTTCAGTCAGCACCTGTCGTAACTACCAAACAAAAGAATCTTTGAATGTTTCTTCTAACTAATTCTACACTGTTGACTCTCCTTTTTTATAAAAAACAAGAAACTCATTTATATTATAATTTGTCTCAAATTACTTAATCTATATTTACTTTCTGTTGAGAAAATTGAGAGAAAGTGGAAAGTTTTGAGTTCAGACTAAGTTTTCTTTATTGGAGCTTCGACCCTTTTCTGTATAAAATTCATATATCAGCACTGGAGTGAGCAAATTCCAAATTTCAAAAAGCTTCTGATGTGGAATAAAATCTTCTACAACCTCGGTCATGACATTGTTCAATCGGAGCCTAAAGGCGTTAGAACTTAAGGGTTGTTAACTTTTTAGCGAAGTTGGTAAAAATTGACTATTTTTGACAGACAATTGCAACACAACGGCTGAACCAATTATAATGTTTCAAACGCCAATTGACGCGGAATTTGATATTATTTTAAAAAAAGACAGTGACTTTTTATATAGGATGCGTACTTTTTTAGTCATCGGCAAAAAACTAAAGAAAGTGCGAAATGTTCGCGATTTTGAGGCTCCCAAATCAGAAGCACAACTTAGAATCCGTCGCAAAACTCATATACCTACTGGTAATTCAGGACCCTCAAGAGGGATCAAAACGATTTCCGACTCTCGAGCAATTCTTAGGGGCTAGAGCTTTCTGCTGCTCAACAATCCACTACTTTTTTTTAATATATAAATCATTGTTAAGCTATATACAATAGCCAGTCATACTGGAGAACATTTTGTACACGTCTGTTTACATTTATTCAATTTGATCTACCGGGTGACACAGGGTATCGGGCCACCCCTGTAACTTCTGCTTTCGTCATCGAATTTTTCTGAAATTCGGTACAGTTATATAAGCAACTATTCCGGATTTGATCACATCACAATCCAATATGGCGGACTTCCGGTATTTCTGGAAATGCCAGCAACTTTGTTTTTTCAAATGAAACACCCTGTATATTTTTACATATTCAAGTTCAACAGGTCGAAACAAGTGCAATCTTTATTTCAAATGTCATTTTTTCGAAAAAGATTAAATTGAAATTGTTTTTTCATTTTACCTCGTGGATAAAATGAGATGTGGTCAAGACATTCACAATGAGTCACGCATAACAGAAGAACATAATTTTTTCTGAAAAATTATTTTTTGTGTCACTTATCCAGGAATCAATTCAGCCACATCACTTTTTGATCAAAAATCATTTTTTTTCAAATGGAACCCCTATGGGCCACCTATCCATCTCTCTAGAACATACATTAACGAACAAAATGACATATCATTTTTGTTTTTCGGTGCAGTAACAAATTGTATACATTCAAAAATCAACAACTAGTTTATGAATTTCCTTGCAGTTAGAATAATTTTTCAACTAGGTAGGCTGCGGAATAAATGACATTTGACATCAAGATTGCACTTGTTTTGACCTGTTGAACTTGAATATGTAAAAATATACAGGGTGTTCCTTTTGAAAAAACAAAATTGCTGGCATTTCCAGAAAAACCGGAAGTCCGCCATATTGGATTGTAATGTGATCAAATCCGAAATAGTTGCTTACATAACTGTACCGAATCTCAGAAAAATCCGTTGACGAATGCAGAAGTTACAGGGGTGGCCCGATAACCTGTGTCACCCGGTATAGTAGAGTGCCAATCGAATCCTATCGTTCACCCCGTGGGAAATCGGAGGTAAAAAGCTGTGACATGGCTAGAATTGTTACCTACCATCTCCAGATCACGGATCCACTTGTCGTCAAAAAATCGTCCTGTGCGTTTGGGGGGTAGGGGGTAATTTATAAAAAAATATGGATACTTTTTTATTCGTGGAAAATATTTATGGGTTTCAGAACTTCCACCCTGTTGAATCTTGATTCCGTGTGACAAGTAGAACAAATTATAGAAAATTTTGAAATTTACTAATTACATTACGATATATGAGAGAATCATATTTCAAACGCCTATAACTCAAAACTTGTAAATTCTCGTTAAATTGTTTTTCATATACCTCGCATTATCTCAGTAACTACAACGTATATCAAAAAAATACTTCGAATAATGTCGATGCGCCTATGTTTCAAGATGCGAATGGTTCTTCGATTTTGAAAATCGAAGCATAAATAAGGAAGATTTTGAGAAAATCATAATGCAATGCAGGTACCACGGACGAACGCGTTTCGCCGCATTCGTACCCCTATTCTCCCCGCAATACCCGCGGCTATCATGGTTCCATACGCTTTCGTTATACACATCACATCAGCATTGAGGCTTTGACCATTGCATCTAATGGTGACTTATTGTGAATTAATTATTCGATATTTGGTACTGTGTGCTCTGTTCCAATAATTAAATAAGTATTGATTAGCTAACGAAATCTATTATTGTAAATTTATCATAAAATATATGTTTCTCTAGATAAAAGATGGAAAGTACTAGCAATTCAGACACTGATCTTGAATATGTCTTGAAGTTGAAGATTCCTTTCCAGCAGAGTTCAGAATCATCGAGAAAATGTTTCATTTGTGGAAAAGATGGTCAACTCCTTCGTTGTACAGAATTATCGATAAAAACATTTGAAAGTTGTATGAATATATAAGAAAAAACCTCGGAAAAAACTATGCGAGGCAAATCGATATGGAACTTCAGAGAATTGATGATATTTTCAATGAAAATAAAGGTCAATCGATCTTCTGGCACAGGAATATCGAAAACTGAAGACAATAGTGTCAGGAATAAAACGCTTTCTGTAATGAAATTGATTTGAAGGTATTCTTGATGTGTCTAAAAGAATTTTCTACCAAAAACGTTCAAATAAGAGTCAAGTTTTGACCTAGTATTGACTACCAACAATGTTTATTGCCATGGTCAGTATCATAACCATAACCAATGCTTTGTATCGAATTGGAAACATTATAGAGGATCACTGAGGACACTGAGTGAGAATAAAGTTGTCATACCACACATGACAAAGAATTTGATAATCTGATAAAATTAATAGATGGTGCAGATTTTCTAATGAAAAAGGGTATACTTTCATCTGTTAATATCAAAAATATGCCGAACTTGGTGGCAAAACTGGTAGGAAAATCTCAATCGAAGATTACTGTCTGTAGGTTAATCGAGAAGGTGAAACATTCATTTTACTTGATTTTTTGGGATTGTCTCTCCTCGTTTCTTTGGACGTTTCGGCAACGAATCTGCTCCCGTTCTCAACATGAAAATGCAACTTCCAAAGAAAAATGTTTTGCATTTTCATGTTGAGAACGGGAGCAGATTCGTTCCCGAAACGTCCAGAGAAACGAGGAGAGAAAATCTCGAAAAATCAAGTAAAATGAATTTATCGAAGAAATCAGAAAGCACTACGACAAGGAAATAGAAATTATCAAATAAATCAAAACGTTCTAATGAGTCGTAATTTGTGATTCCGAAAGTGACAAAAACTCATCTAATTCATACACATATAAAGAACAAGGTGAAATTACAGAAGATAACTCCCCTGACTTTGTATGCATCAGATATGACCCAGATACACAATTTTTTTTGAGATATTTATCAAGATATGAGAGATATGCCAGATTATAAACAACTCAAAAATATGAATGTCAAGGCTTACAAGGATATGATACCAAAAAAACTTTTTTTAAATTAGTTGCCTTATGCACGATAAAGTTGATTCAGTTGATTCAAAGGTGTTGAGTAGGTATCTGATGTCAAGGTATAATACTCGCTAATTCTAAATTCGAAAAACTCACACCGAAACACGTTGGTTTGGGAATAATGATTCATCAAGAGACATGATCGAAAAAATTTATCGTAGCTTTGTGTTCTTGCGTGGACACTGTATCGTATTTACGTGAATTTACAACTTCGCAATTCGATAGGTATCAAATAATGTTTTTTTAAAGTTTCCACAAGAATATCTCATTTTTATTTCAATATTATATGCATCATGTTTTGTTTCAATATTTGTCAATTTGTTTATAAATGAGATGGTTGACATTTTACTCTGATGGATAAGAAATGTACTTTCGAGATAGAATCATTCATAAAATAAATGGAGGGCACTTCCATTCAAACAGCAATTAAAAATAAATTTCTGTTAACTTGGAAAATAGCGATCAATTCTATTTCTCCCGTGAATTCCAAGATGGTACTATTCTGTAACACTCAGTAATTCATATTTAAGGTGATCGTATTAGGAAGGCCGCGGGCGTTGCGGGGAGAATCGGGGTATGAAAACGGCGAATCGCCGTCCTTCGTACTACCTGCATTGTATTATGATTTTCCCAATATCTTCCTTATCCTTATTCCTATAAGTATTTTTTTGATAAACGTTACGTTAACTCATAAATCGTAATGTAATTGGTGAATTTCAAAATTTTCTATAATTTACTGTCTGTAGGTTAATCGAGGAGGTGGTACATTCATTTTACTTGGTTCTTTGGGATTTTCTCTCCCTCGTTTCTATAAAATAAAAATATTCGTATTATTTCAATATATTTGTAGAGGGACAAATCAGATGATTTGCCCCAAAATGTCACTGCGTTTAACAAATTTTTCTATCAGGGAGTCTAAAAGAAAAATCCAGTAGCTTGTCAGTGACAATTTGTTTGAAAAAATTTTTGAAGGAAAGAAATATAGATATATTGAAAAAATATCGAATTTGTACTTATCTTTGGACGTTTCGGGACCGATTCTGCTCCCGTTCTCAACATGTAAATGCAAATTATTTTTCTTTGAAATTTTTGCTGCGTATAGTTTGACACTTTTCAATGTCATACTGATGTTGGCATATGAATGAGTGATTTTAGTCTACAAATGAGTTACAGGATGTTTTCATTAATTGATCTTGAATCTACCATTTTCATGTTCAGTTTTCAGTAGTGAATACCATGTTCTATCAATATCAACTGAACAGGAAGCAATGCTATTGTCTCCGTTTAGAAGAATGCAAGCGGATTCCTTTATTTTTCTTTTTTGTTTGTTATCTTCCTTTCCTATGATTTTGATATTATTCCACTGTGCCATATGTTGTCCATCTTCAGTGAGGATATGTTCAGTTAGCTTCAATTTATCGATATGTCTTTTCTTGATATTGTACTTGTGTTCTTTTGTCCTTACTGAGAGAGGTCTTTTCGTTTCACCTGTATAATACTTTCCACAAACACAAGGTATACTATAAATACAATTTTTTGATGATTGTTCTTCATTTTTTGGCTTTGTTTGAGTTAGAATGGATCTCATTGTATTTTCAGTTTTGAACACAGTTTTCACTTGGAACTTATCACCAACACGTTTTATTTTTTCAGATATGCCGGGAATGTACGGTATTATATTCGTCGTTATTGATGGTTGTTTTTGTTGTGGTGTATTTTGTTTGTTTTCAATTTGGTGAATCGTTCTATCAATGAAGTTCCTTGGATATGAGTTGAGTTGAAGAACATCTCTGATGTGGTGGATTTCGTTATTGAAAATTTGTTGGTTAGATGATATTGATTTGGCATTCTTCTAAACGGAGACAATAGCATTGCTTCCTGTTCAGTTGATATTGATAGAACATGGTATTCACTACTGAAAACTGAACATGAAAATGGTAGATTCAAGATCAATTAATGAAAACATCCTGTAACTCATTTGTAGACTAAAATCACTCATTCATATGCCAACATCAGTATGACATTGAAAAGTGTCAAACTATACGCAGCAAAAATTTCAAAGAAAAATAATTCGCATTTACATGTTGAGAACGGGAGCAGAATCGGTCCCGAAACGTCCAAAGATAAGTACAAATTCGATATTTTTTCAATATATCTATATTTCTTTCCTTCAAAAATTTTTTCAAACAAATTGTCACTGACAAGCTACTGGATTTTTCTTTTAGACTCCCTGATAGAAAAATTTGTTAAACGCAGTGACATTTTGGGGCAAATCATCTGATTTGTCCCTCTACAAATATATTGAAATAATACGAATATTTTTATTTTATAGAAACGAGGAGAGAAAATCCCAAAGAACCAAGTAAAATGAATTTCTATAATTTGTTCTACTTGTGACACGAAATCAAGATTCGACAGGGTGAAAGTTCTGGAACCCATCAATATTTTCCACGAATAAAAAAAAAATCCATATTTTTTTATAAATTACCCCCTACCCCCCAAACGCACAGGACGATTTTTTGACGACAAGTGGATCCATGATCTGGAGATGGTAGGTAACAATTCTAGCCATGTCACAGCTTTTTACCTCCGATTTCCCACCAACTTTTGATCTAAGCGACTTACGGTTCGTTTGGCACTCTACTACTAGTTTAGTAAACTTTAAGGGCATATTTCAACTTTTTCGTGAATACATATCATTATGGGAGAACATTTTATATGGAAAGGGAACTCATTCTACACCCTTGACAAATATTGAGTTTTGATAAGGGGTTGTAGAGAACCTTATTGTTTCCAAATCACTGTTATGTCTTGTATTATGGTGAATATCATTTCGGCTGATGGAAGCAACTAGATTCAAAATTAATTTGAAAAAATATCTGCTTCAGAGACTTTGATAATTCCATTTCTTATTGGAATACCTACTTATAAAAGACAAGGTTGATATTGCATGATTATTTGCATTTTTTTTACTTGTTATATCTTATCATTATCATTATTCCATTATTACATTATTACATTATTACATTATTACATTATTACATTATTACATTATTACATTATTACATTATTACATTATTACATTATTACATTATTACATTATTACATTATTACATTATTACATTATTACATTATTACATTATTACATTATTACATTATTACATTATTACATTATTACATTATTTCATTATGTATATTGTTTATGTATCCCTATTATAAACAACTATGTTTCTTGTGGTAATAGAGACAATGAAGTTGGGTTAGACAGCCTCTTAGAGTTCGGTATAACTAATAGATACATACTTGGTATTTGTAAATAACATTTAAAGGCATAATGTTATAATTTTTATATAGATCATTTTTGTGATATCTTCTGTGCAGTCCATACATATTTTTCATTGCTCTATTTTATAAAATCTCAATTAGCCTGATCACCTGCTGGAAGGAAGGGTACCATAGCAGAGAAGGATATTTTATGTGACAATTGTATTCAACTTCCATAATATATCTATTGGAGCTGCAATATTAGATCTCAGCCTGTATATTTTTCAATGGATTATCAGGATTTTCAAACGGTCACTCATCCTCATTTCAGGAACTTCCTGTGCTGTGAAGAATACTACGACCAAATCCTGGCAGTGAACGTCGCTTGCCAAGCGGGCCACTGGAACATCGTGGCTCTCCTCGCCAAATCGCGGGGCCTGCAAGCCGAGGTCGTCTCCGCTTTGGGCCAGATCCTGCAGAACGCCAGGTAGAGGTGACGAACTATCGATAGTGTCTATAGTGCACTGAAAAAACTATCGATACTATCGATTGACCTATGGATATTAATAAATTTTATTTTACTTTGAGAAATTCATCAGGCGAATTTCGTTATAGTAATCTGATATACAGGGTGTTTTGTAATATGTGGGACGCACTTCGAGAGGTGATAGGGCGTCTCAAGAAAACGAAAAAGTCGTAAAAGGCCTCCTTGGCGAGATACAGGGCGTTAAAGTTGCAAATATTTATAGAATGTTTTTATGTCCACCCTGTATGGCTTATCGTGGAGGCAAAATGTAATTAGTTATGTGACTGGCATAGTGCCACAATTACAGAATAATAACTATCATGGTTATACACTTATAAAGGGTCCGGACGATTCAATAGGGACAGTATTGCTATCTCCTAAACGGTAAGAGATAAAAAGTTGATTCAATTGGACAAAAGTTGCGAAATTTGAACCTCTTCAATATGCCGTTTCGCAGACTGATAAAAATACATCCGTTCCTGGAATATTTTGAAATAACTGAAAATCGCTAATTTTGTTTTCATTCATTTTCTCAGGTAATATTCAATAAGAAATGAAAATGTGTGTGATTAAGTATTTAATTAAGACAAAGAACTAGATTTTATAAAAAATATTCTATCTTCATCAGTTTCAGAGATGTTCTATGCAACTTTTGTTTTTCTTATGACCGCCATATTCGTTTTTTATACCATTCAATAGGACTAAAAATTACCATGTATAACATTTCGACATAATCACATGAAACAGCGTCAATTACCCATTTTTTGCTAGTTGTCACTGCTCAAAATTAAGCTGCCATATATTTTGAAATGTAGTGGGCCATGATAATAAGAAAACAGAATATTTCAATCGCTGTGACTACAGTATTGATAGTTTTTTTAACATTAATGAATCTCGAATCATTTTGAAGTGAGTTTTTGAGAGTGTTTTTAATTCGAAAATCGAAAAATGGTATGTTAAAGTGTCAGTGATAAATAAAAGATATGTATGACGTTTACATTAGGTGTTATAGGAGAGTTGATAATGCAGTTCGAGAATATTCTAGATTATATCCAGATAGAAATTCGCCTTCAAGGAAAACATTTTATTCAATTTCAAGAAATTTAACAGACTTTGGATGTGTTTTCAAAAAGCAAGGCAAATACCGTGTTAGAAATCCACACAATGAAATCAATGTGTTGGCACAAGTGAATATCAATCCTGAACTTTCATCAATATTCCTTAGTAACTAATGTGGAATAAGCGCAACATGGGTTCAAGAAATTCTTCAAAAAACAAGTACCACGATTTCAAGTATAAAATCGTTCAAAAACTTCACCCTGGAGATCTGAGCGTAGGCTTACATTTTGTAATTGGTACCAAGAAATGTTGAATGACCAATTATTGTTTCAAAACACAATTTTATGGACAGATAAAACATCATTCACAAACAGTGGGATTTTTAATTGAAAAAAATAAACATTTTCATGCAACGGAAAATCCTCATTTGACGCAGCAAACCTGACCCCAAATTCGTTATAGTCTCAATATGTGGTGTGGGATTATTGGAAACCATTATTGGTCCAAAATTTATTGAAGGGAATTTAACAGCCCATGTCGATTTGTTGACAGAAATGATGGAAGAATTGCCTCTAGCAACCTTACAGGACATTGACTGGTTTATGCAAGATGGTTGTGCAGCTCACAATTCTGCCTTTGTCCGAGATTTCTTGAATACTAATTTCACAGATAGATGGATTGGGACGTATGGTCCTGTAAGGTGACCTCCTAGGTCGCCTTGTCTCAATCCCCTCGATTATTTTTTATGGGGATTCTTGAAGAAAAAGTTTACCAGAATGAAGTTGATATAGCGTTGAGGAATTGCGGCAGAGAATTACTTTGGCTTTCAAAGATATACCATCTGAATTGGTATCAAGTACAATAAGACAGTTGCGGTTAAGAACCTAAAAATGTATTGAAAATAATGGCGAACACTTTGAACAACACTTATAAAAATATAATTGAAGTTTTTTTTATATTGCTAAGTTCGGTCTTGAGTTGAGTTTTAGTTTAGTTATTTTTATGACAAAATTAACCATTTATCAGGAAACTGACTGTATCAAATACCTTGGTATAATGGTGGACAATAATCTGAAATGGGATCATCATATTGATTATGTCACTAAGAAAATAAGATGCCTCATTCCTAAATTCAAACATTTGAAAAACTTATTAAATATTCGAAATTTAGAAATGATATACTATGCTTTAGTTCAATCTCAATTAGTTTATGGGATATTAGGATGGGGTGGAGTGAAGCAGATATATTTGAGAAAATTGGAAATTGCACAAAAATGGATTTTAAAAATTATTTATGGAAAAGATTATTTGTTTCCAACTGAACTTTTATATAAGGAATCTAAGAAAATGGATATAAATCAACTCTATATTTACAATTTACTGATTCATATTTTCAAAAATAAAAAGGACATTCAGTTTAAAAAACATATCTATGACATAAGAAATAAAAATAACATAACATTGAAATATAAAACAAACAAGTCATTTGGACGTAGAAATTTTAAATTTTTAATTCCTTACCTATATTGAATATTTTAAATTTTTAATTCCTTACCTATATTGAATATTATAAAAACAAAATCACTACAATCCTATACAATAAAAATAAAAAACTGGATATTAAACTCCCCTAAAAATTATTTTATTTCTTTAATTAACATTTAATAATATCATTAGATAAATTTTAACACACTATATATTATGAATTGAATACTTGTCTCATTTCTTAATGAGACAATTTTCAATTGTGATAACTTGATATTGTTAAATATTTATTGACCTATGTACATTTATTTATTTTTTATCCTTACTACAAGGTTAACTTCGTAAGGTTTTTCCCAGTTTATTCAAATTACCTTTATGTTTATTCCAATGTATATTTTGTAAACGTTTTTGAATAAACTTATATTATTATTATCAATGTTCATTGAATCGTTTTCAATATTTCATTGGTTTGTAAATAGACTGGCTCGAAAAAACGAAACAGAATGCTAAGTGACAGGTTAAACGAAAGGGTCAGTAGCGAGTATTTCCGCCTCGCGAAAGAATAACTTCTTGGCAAAGACGGCTGTTATTTAAAATAAAAGACCTTATGTCATTTTCGTCCAGGTCTTCCCAAATTTGAGACAGTCTCTGCCGAGCATCTTCCAAAGTATTCAAATTACGTTCCTCTTGTAATTTTGTTCCAAGAATGTCCCAGAGATTCTTAATTTGTGATTTAAGTACGGTCTTGCGATACTGACTTCCTCTAGATAATTTCTCACAACTCGGGCGTCGTGAGGCCTGACATGATCTTGGACCAACAAAAATCCTCACACTATATGTCGTTCTAAAATCTCCAATATCTACCTATCAGCCGTAATATTTCTATTTATGATCACGACCAGTCAAGAGAATGCCTTCCCAGACCATAGCCTACTACTGACGTGCTTATAATGCTAAGCATATTCAATAATATCATGTTATGCTATGAAATTGTGTTTCTAAAATAATAGTTGAGATAATGGAATGAATCCAAAAAAGAAATGTTAAATAAAGATAAGGCTAAAGTGTTATTACGTCTCTAACTTGAAAATGTAACTGTTACACTCTACAGGGTATTACAAATTTTATGAAGAGAAACACACTATAATTGCTAGACCCGGTATTCATAGAAAATAGGTTTTCAGGCGAATACAATTTGCACGCGAATATTCTGAAGGAGATGACCTGTCATTCAAAACAAAAAACGTCCAAATCGGACGTGTAGCTTTGACGAAAATCTATCTCAAACTTTTGGATACTTTTTGGTGGTGCGTTAATTCTTTGGGGAAGAACTTATCAACTTATATTATGAATTCGACGTAATCTGAAGTTGAATCCAAATGTCATTTCACCTGTAAACGTCAAAAAAATTCCACTTATAATATCACGAGAGCTTCAATTATTTCCGGAAATTTTTTCGAGAGCACGAATATTTTGAAAATTCTCCCGAGTCGAAGACGATATTAATTGAAGCTAAAGTGGTATTCGGTAAGAAAACACACTGAAATGTTTTTAAAAAATTACTTGGATAATGACCATTTTCGATGGTTTTGACATTTGAATAGTAGGCTTTGTATGTTAACTCAATAGAATAATATATTTTTTTTACGTATGTCATTCTTCATGTCAAAACTGAAGATTAGGTATTATATCATAGTGTTGATATGAAAATGATGGTTGTTTGTGATGAAATGTAAGAACTAACGTATAGTAACAACATTTGTTTTTGTAAATTTCGAATTTGCAAGTATACCTACATAATATTATATGGTATACTGTTGATGAATGATTTTTATTTAATGACTTATAGAATGAACTCGAAATAATCTGTAGTTGAATGTAAATGTCATTTAACCTATAAACGTCAAAAAAGGACCCCGCACCGCATCAATGGGAAAATGGCTTTCGGTGAATTTACAATTTTTTTTATATATGGTAGAACTCGTGGTGCTGATCAAATGTCTCCATTGCACGAACGCTCTGAAATCAACAGTTTATATTATATAGGGTGATACAGTTGACTTTTCCAAAATTTTTGATAGAAATTGTGAAGACACCTTTCATAATTTCAAAACCAAATCAACTGTGCATTGATTGTACGAAAGATCGAACGAATCTTCTATGAACTGTTATAATTCCTGCACGTACTAACAATATACAGGGTGTGTCGGAACATAGCGAATAATTCAGTGGTTTTCGGAAAAGTGGGAGGTGGAATTTCATTTAAATTCTGTAGTATACAAATATCATCCCCAATTCGTGATATTTGCATCTTCTGATCAGACATATTATATACAAGATGTTCCATTTTTGATAAAGTCACATCCATGTTAGGTACTTATTATTGGCCTCCTTATTATGACTTACAACGTGAACAACCTATTGGGAAACTCGTTTATTCCATGATGAATGTCCACTCTGCAAATACGTGAAATATACGGAGTGGGTGAAAAATCAATGGTCTTTACTAATAACTTCTCAAGAATAGTATGTACAGATTCTTGTGATCCATTTTATTGGAATTAATCATTGATAATAAACAGTTTACTACTTTTATTTTTGTTTGAGGGTTGAGGTATTCTTGATTTGAGTATGAGGAGTTGTATTCTGGAAACTGTTCAAGAAGTTGAATGGATTCAACTACTTTATTTCGAGAAACGAATTCGTTTTATGAAATAGTGATCGAGGAAATATAATTACTTGTCATAACACGAAAGTATTACACTATGTTAGGTACACAACTTCTGTTGTGATTGAATATCAGAATATTTTGTGATCCATAATGATTATATATTCATTGTTCTTGTTTCCTATTGTTGATTGTTTCTCTATCATTTGAAGAACTTATTATGATACCTGCAGTACGTTCTTACATATTATTCAAAATATATACTACATCGAATGGTTCAAATTATTTTTATTGAATATAATGTCGTTATGAAACACTCCGTATATTCCACGTATTTGCAGAGTGGACATTCATCATGGAATGAACGAGTTTTCCAATAAGTTGTTCAAGTTGTAAGTCATAATAAGGAGACCAATAATAAGTACCTAACATGGATGTGACTTCATCAAAAATATAACATCTTGTATATAATATGTCTGATTAGGAGATGCCAATATCACAAATCGGGGATGTTATTTGTATACTACAGAATTTAAATGAAATTCCACCGCACACTTTTCTGATAACCACTAAATTATTCGCTATGTTCCGAATCACCCTGTATTATCTTAGTACGTGCAGGAATTATCATACTTCATAGTAGATTTGTATGGGTCATTCGAACAATCAATGCACAGTTGATTTGGTTTTGATATTATGAAAGGTGTCTTCACAATTTCTAGCTAAAATTTTGGAAAAGTCAACTTTATCACCCTATATAATCTTAACTGTTGATTTAAGAGCGTTGATGCATTGGAGACATTTGATCAGCACCAAGAGTTCTACAATATATGAAAAATTCGAGTAAATTCACCGAAAGCCAATTTCCCATTGATGCGGTGCGGGGTCCTTTCCAGTGTAATTTCATGCTCCGTCCCCCAAGGAGGAGGAAAAAATTTCCAGAAATTTGTTTAGTTGCTATGGTAACGAATCAAAGTACAGGCTTCCAATTGGTCGAAAATGTTAGGTGTGAAATGTTCTCGAAAAATGTCCAGTTATAATTGGAACACTAGTGGTATTATGAATCATAATAATATCTATTATTGTTTCTTACCCCAAGCGCCAGTGCTCCCAGACCGACCGAGCACAACTTCCTGTACGCCCTTTCGGAGCCGTCACTGGCGCAGAGCCTGATGATCTCCGGGCAGAGCGCGCAGTTCATCTTCCAGTACGTCCGGACGAACGTGGATTCCTTTTCGTTGGAGATTTTAAGGCGACTGGCGGTCCAGCTGGATCCCAGTCAGCCGTGCGCTGTTCCGCTGGTCAGCAGATTGTTTCAGACGACGAAGTTCTCGTCCAGCTTGGACACGACGATCGAGTCCGTGGATTTCGAGAATCCTGATAGGAGTGTGGTTACGCTGAAGGATTTGATCGATACGTTTCTGACTGTGGTGATACATTTGGTCAGGAAGACTGAGAAACTCGGGTAAGTGCTTGTTTCTTTCATAAATTGTTTATAGAAACAAATTTGGTGAGAGAGTGATGGAGCGCAACAGTGTGACATTGTGTCATGGCTTACCGTTTAATTTTCATCGTGCAACACGAACACGTCTTTTCATACTTTTTAACATGTTTGTAATTTGTAGTAGTTTATACTGAAAAGTTATGATTGAATTTTATATCAAAACCATCGGCAGAGTGTAGTGCACGGAAGTGTCTACCTTTCAGTGGTCCAGAAGTGCGAGTACAGTGCACTTTATTAGTAGTTTGAGGCGATCTCACATATTCCAAAAGTGAAAAAGCAATATAAACTGATCCACAGTGTTTTTATTAATATTCCTGAGTCGTGTGGGTCTTGCTGCTCGGCGATAAGATGTAGAAATACAGGTACTCAGTGTCAATGGCAATGTAAAAAAATGCACTTGAAATTGTAAAACTGCCAAGTTTGTTCGTTGACCTCACAGCTGATTCTGGAGTAGTGAGGACTTGCAATGCAAATCAGCAGTTGGCGAATCTTCGAGTGTGACAATGCCGACATTATCAAAAATTGAATGGATTCACCAGGACATCACCGACGTCAAATCCAAACAATCTGAGTTTTTTACTCGCTCAGATTCTACGTTTACAAAAAAAAAGAAATCAAGGCTCAAATGGTGGATGTAAATATCCCTGTTTGTTACTGAGCACGACGTGGGAAATGTGCATCCTGTTATGCAATATTTCATCAGTGCACAAAAAACTTTGCCAACAAATATTGCGCAGTTCATCTTTCAATACGTCCGGGCAAAAGCGGATTCTTTTTGTTTGGTGGCGATCCCACATATTCCAAAAATGAAGAAGCAATAAAAACAGGTAATCATTATCATAAATTTGGTTAGGAAGACTGAGAAACTCGGGTAAGTGATTTTTGTTCATGAATCGTTTATAGAAGCAATTGAAAGGAACTGTGTCATTTGTTGAGTGAGTGATGAAGCGCAACAGTGCGATGTGTGATGGCTTACCGTTAATATACATGGTGGGTCACGGTCGATAGTACCTTAAACGTTTACAGAGATCGGGACATAAGATCATTCTGAAAAATTGGTTACTCAAGTAGTTGCTCTTGGTCTATCGATCTAAAATATTTTTAGCAATGCAGCGTTGCCTCTTATACCAGAAAGTAATAGCGACTTTGATATTTCAGAAGGAACACCCTGAAGAGCTGATTTCATCAATGCATCACACTTGGGGTCTAGCGGAAATCATTACAGAGATATAAGGTGTTCAAAATCGAGATTTGGGATATTTTTGTGTCGAAACTATTCATTATCGGCAAAACAGTTCGCATGTCTTTGTCTTAACTTTTGATTTACTATTTATTATTTACTGACATTTGATTGGAACAGATACAGAATTCTGAATCTTGAACCACCCTGTATTTGTTTGACGGAATTCCCCACACATTTTTTCTGTGAATGTAAGCTTGTGATACATGGTTGAATAAAAACAGATAGAGCAAACAAATATCATTACCTGAAAAAAATATTATAATGCCTTGGTTCATGTTGAAAAAGTTAACATTTTTACCAGTTCTTAATTTTTTTCAAATCATCGGAGTTGTCCTTACGACTCGCAATTTTTCAAAATTAAAATCGAATGAAAGCAATCCTTGCGCACAGAAAATCTATTTGAAGTTCTCACTCGCCCTAGCCGATTCGTTCTTTTGATCAATTCCTGAAAATACGATACTGTTTAACGGTCATTATATTGATGAATACTGCAAAATGAATCAAATTCGTTCAACGGATTCATTTACAGGATGTTTTAGAGAATGAAGTCCAAGTTGAAGTGAAGTTCACCTTCTTTCAAATAAAATTAGAATATTTATCTGAGTATGATATATTAGAATTGAATTTAAAAGAATTAATTACAAACTAACATTCACTAAAATACAAATTAAATATTACTTAATGTTTTGTTAGCCTCATTGAATGTGTTTTACAGATTGAAAAATAATTTATTTTCAAATGTTTTTTTACAACTTCTAGGTTCTATACATAGACAAACTACACTATCTAGACCCTAGATAGTACAACCTCGAAGAATATCATTGTTGAGCCACGAAACAATGGATGTCCATATGACATAATGATCCGTGATCAGTGATGACGCGCAGGCGGCGAAGGCACAAGTATTAGTTTCAAAACTGTTCATATTTTGTTTCAATGATTGGGATGTCAACAGTGTCATCTCTGTTTAGACCAGTGCTGAAGCCTATGAAAACGGTAAAAAGTGAAAAAAAAATAGTAGGATGAAACCCATTGGAAAAGAAGGAGAATATAACAAAGATGAAAGAAATAATAAACTACTGGTGATCTGAGGTCGTGAAGTGGTAGTGGCTAGGTTTTCAAGGGTAAAAAACGGTCAATTTCCGGCAAAACTGCAAGCCCTATGGAAAAAAGTTGAACCGCAAAGTTGTAGGCATTAAAAATATATCTTACTTTTATGTATACAAAAAACCAAGTTCATGGTTTCTTATTTTTATCTTTTAAAAAACGTTTTTTTTTCTCGAAATTTGTTGAAAACTTACCTCTTCATGACCCGGACACATTGTAATTTTGTTGGTTGGAATCATTTATTTTTTCACCTAATTTTGACCTAATATCAAGAAAGCACCCTAATTTCCAAAATATCTGCTTTTTCAAAAAAGTCTATAGGCTTCTTGTTCGTTGAGATCTCTAGTTTCTGGTAGTGTAAAAGAATATATACATTACTGTCGTAAATGTTATCAGAAAATGCAAAGGAACGAGAAAGCAGCAGTCACAACTTAGATGAAATCCCCTTCATTATTTAGAACAACTATTTTCGTATGTTTTTTTGCAATCTTAAAGGATTTGAATTTTTTTTGTGCTTCAATGTAACATGAAATCCTACGTTTTCGAGTAATTAGTGGTAATTTTAATAAATAGCTCAAAATTGTACCTAATGATTAAAAAAAATTCAGATTTGTGTTTCATTTCTTTGCATTTTCTGATGTATATATATTTCACATCATCAGAAAGTAGAGATTCCAATGAACAAAAAGTCCACCGAGTTTTTTGAAAAAGCAGATATTTTGACGATAGAATATTCGATTGAAAATCAGGGTTAGTCAATATAAGGTGGTAAAAGGATATTCCAGTTCAAAAATATTATTTGAGACATAAAGAGGTACGTTTTCACCAAATTTCTTGAAAAATAATTTTGTAATGTAAAAGAAAAATAAATAACCAAAAATTCGTTATTCAAATTTTCCACATAAATGTTAAGGTCATGTGAAAAATATTTATTTACAAGAATCATAGATCTTTTTATTACCTACAATCTTGCTATTAAAATTTTTTCCGTAGGACTTCCACTTCCCGACCTCAGATCGACCGTTTTTTCTTCTATTCTTTTTATATTCCTTTTTCAGTGGGTTTCATTCTACTAGAATTTTTTTATGCTTTAAAAATTATCGACCTTGGTCTAGTTGTGATTTTTTTTTCATTTAGAATCGTGATTTCTACCAGTTTGGAAGTGTGATTTTTGTTCGTTTCAAAATGCATTTTTTTATGTATGGACAATTATTTCCTTTTTTAGTTTTTTAGTTAAGTTAGGTAAAAAAATTATAATCTAAAATTATGACTAATATGACGAATCCAATCTTCTGAAAATTGGCATGCCCCTGGTCTTTTTAGGTACTTTATTTCCTTCTTGCTTCAAAAATGATGTAAACCCTGTTCTGGGGGAGGGGGCGGAGGGGGGTCCACACTTTTATTGGCCCAAATTTTATGTTCAGAAAGAGACTATCACTTCAAATAGCATGATCTTGTGGACCATAAAGACATGTTAGACTTCGGTCTCCTGGATTGTTTTCAAATAACTGACTATTTGCCAGAACATCGTAATCAACGAAACGGGAAGTCACGGCATCGTTTTCGGACGCATTGCATACGGAGGTGATCGTATGTCAGAACGCATTTGAGACTGCTATTTCAGAGGCGTGTAGTACTGAAATACTTGCACTTGATTCGTTATTATGATCACAGTTTCAGATAATCTTTTTTTCTTCAAGTGCCATAGATAGTGGCTAACAGGCAGCAAAGGTGTACTTTCTCTGATCAGGCAGAAACAGTTGTTTTTTCCTACGACTAATACTGTAAATGATGGATATTGTACACAAAACAATGGCAGTAAGCTTCTCCTTACACACGTGTGCGTAAAGAGAGCGATCGCACGGTTTTCATAGGTATGTTGATAGATGACTTTGTTTTGTTGCTTAGGCGATGTGTCAATAACAATTAACAATTTCATTAATGTCACTAGCTAGGTGAGTAGGTATACTTATCTTTTTATCAATCCAGCTATCCACCGAAACCGAAAGCATCAGGAGAGTTATATTTTTTGAAAATACGATTATTTTCTATTGAGAATCCTCAATTTCAGTTAAAAAAAATGATGTCAAGCGATGACGATGAGCAGATTATTTCTACACCACCAGAAATGTTGGAAAAAGCTAGGATGGTAAAAAATGAGTTGCTACCCGCTAAGTCTCGTAATTGATACGAAATAGCACATCAAAAATTCCTGGACTGGAGAATTAGAAATAATACCGTGTCATTTTCGGAAAATATCCTTTTAGTATATTTTCAAGAATTACCAAATGTCATTAAATCATCATCACTCTGGTCGATATATTCCATGTTACGATCAACACTAAATATCAATAACATATCCGGCCATTTCCTCAAAAGGGAAGAATGGATTCCGAAGAAAAAAATCAAAAATACTTGATGCTGAAAAGATCAATTACTTTCTGCAGAATGCTCCCGTTGAAGGTAATTTTTCAAATAACATACATACTCAACATTGAATTGATGAATTCCTTTTTCTTTGAATAACAGGAATAATTAAGAAAGATTCATCTACGAAATTATATTTATAAAATATCTACTTATACGGAGAAATGGTGATAGCTCAGTTGTTGGAAGCGATGGCTCCGAACCCAAAGGTCGGTGGTTCAGAGCGCAGCTGGAGAACTTTTTTTTATTATATTTAATAACGATTACAGAATCTCGTGCTGCACTGATACAAATAAATAACCATTATGAATGTTGATTTTATATTCTTATACAATGTGTTTTTGGCTACCTATTTTGTTTAGATATGAAAAACGGCACCATTTCAGTTCGAATTGAGGAAAATGTCTCGGTATGCAATGTATCAATAAACAAACACAAGAATTGTGATTTGTAACTTTTCATGCTGCTGGCTTAGTGACGGGAGACGTTTTATATTGGTATTCGTTATTTGTGCCTTTATACAATATCTGCACTATCCGGAAGAAAATATAGTGTAGTCGTAAAAAAAGTATAGTACAATTCTCGAGTTGTAAAGCAATTACGCACTTGTGGAGTTACACACTCGCCGCTATGCGGCATCGTGTGTAACTCTCTCCACTTCGTGCGTAATATGCGTTTTACAACTCCTGTTATGTATTATACTACATATTACTATGCAACGTCCCAATATCAGCTGCGGCAGTCAATCTACCACTTTGCTGCCTAGTAAAACAAATAACTATTAATCTTTGGAAGAAGTCCATCGTAACTCAAAGTGGAGTGGTGTATTTCATAGATGAAAACCCAAAGTCATCTCCACAACATTGATTAGAATGATCAAAGATCAATCTCAAAGGAACATGTTTCGGGTTTATATAAGCTCATCATCAGCCAATAGAAAATATCATAGTTCTAGAAAAATCAGTGTTCACTTTGGATATAGATGCAAGAATTACTCAGTATAGTAAAATAAATTTATAACATAATTTTATATCATTTTACAGTGACAGAAAGTTTTTCAGGTTTCTTCACTTTTTCTCTTAATATTCTAAATCAATTGTTTTCCAGATCATGGAGCATATTTCATTGTTTGCACTGTTATTAACTATACTATTTGTATGCCTATTTCTATGCCTTATTTCTATGAAAGTACGAAGTAATTCTTGCATCTATATCCTAGGTCAACACTGATTTTTCTAGAACTATGATATTTTCTATTTGCTGATGATGGGCTTATATGAGCCCGAAACATGTTCCTTCAAGATTGTTCTTTGATCTTTCAAAAAAATGTTGTGGAGATGATTTTGGGGTTTCATCTCTGAAATAACTATTTTCTACCCAACTTACAGTGGCTAGAGCTCGGAGGGGGTGCTTTTTAGGACACATGTTAATATGAAGAAGAAGTTTTATTTTCATCCATACTATACTATACACCCTCAGAATATTTATATAGAATCTTGAATCACCTTGAATGAACTTTTTAAAATCTTCACAGAGATTTAAAAATTTCAATATCAAAAACTTCCCCTTTTCCAGCTTCGACCTGACCCTCCTGGACGCCACCGACCCCCCTAAACCGCCGCCCGTACACACGCCCATCATCAGCAAGCTGCCCGACCTCCGGCCGCTGAGCTGCGGCTACGAGCACGCGGCTGTCGTGCGCAACCACGCCGTCTACACGATGGGCGCGTCCGGCTCGGGCCGCCTCGGCCTCGGCCCGCTGTTGACGCAGAGCAGCCCGCCCAGGCGAGTGCACACGCTGGCCGAGGTGCGCGTGAAGGTGCTGAGCGTGGCGTGCGGCAGGAGGCATACGCTGGCGCTCACCGATTTCGGGGTGCGTACAATTGATACTATTTTGCCTCCTTGATATGGTATTTATAATACACGGTGAAAGTTAAGTACGGTGAAATATTCCTGAATCAACTTTAACAAAATAGTCTATACAGGGTTTCCGCTAAAAGGAGGTCAATCCATTAACCACATATTCCTTGAACAAAAACAATATGAGTTTCTAAATATCATTTTTCATTTTAGCCCTTCATATTCGGTATACAGGGTGTCAAAGTTGGAAATTAAAAACTGTTTTTTTCTAATTACTCGCGTATTTGATAAGATATTAATCTCAAAATTGGTACATTACTTCAGCACAAAGAGTTACATCGTGTGAGGAAAACAAAACAGAAAATAACTGTCAAATATTCAAGATACTGGGGGTCAATTTTACACTTACCGCCATATTTTGTTTGTACGTGCGCTAATGACTTCCTATCTATTTTCCTTCAAGTGTTCAATCATTTTTGAGTATTTTTTGTTTCCTGTAAAATTTCGATTGAATCATTTGTTTTTAAGATAATTCGAAAAGTACTGGTTATTGTTTGATGCCTATGCGGCTTAGGTAATCTCATAATGTTCACATACTCCTATTTATTTCGTCGAAATTGAAAGAGGGCGTATCTTTTTACGTACGAAAAGGTAAATATGGAAATACCGGGTGCTCGGAGCAAATGTACTAAAATAATTTTTACAAAAAAAAAAAATTAAAAAGTGTAAAAATTATTTTAATACATTCGCTCTGAGCACCCGGTATTTCCATATTCACCTTTCCGTACGTAATAAGATACGCCCTCTTCCAATTTCGACGAGAAAAATAGGAGTATGTGAACATTATGAGATTACCGTAAGCCGCAAGGCATCAAACAATAACCAGTACTTTTCGAATTATCTTAAAAACAAATAATTTTATCGGAATTTTACAAAAATCAAACAATACTCAAAAATGATTGAACACATGAAGAAAAATAGATAGGAAGTCATTAGCGCACGTACAAAAAAAATATGGGGGTAAGTGTGTACTTGACCCCCAGTATTTTGAATATTTGACAGTTATTTTCTGTTTTGTTTTCCTCACACGATGTAACTCTTTGTGCTGAAGTAATGTACCTATTATGAGATTAATATCTTATTAATTACGCGAGTAATTAGAAAAAAACAGTTTTTAATTTTCAACTTTGACACCCTGTATATCGAATAAGAAGGGCTAAAATGAAAAATGGTATTTAGAAACTCATATTATTTTTGTTCAAGGAATATATCGTTAATGGATTGACCTCCTTTTAGCGGACACCCTGTATAAACTCGTCCTGTGTCCGGAAATACTTCATTTCGGAGATACAGGGTGTTGAAATACAGGAAAAAATCAGTTTTTGGTGAAGTTTATTTTAATGAGACTTACTACATACTCAGTTTTTGCAGTGTTCGCAGCAACTTCACTTAGCGCCCTATAGGAGCTAAGTAACATGCATCGATATAGAAAATTGTGAATATCTCGAACTTGGAAATGGTGTGGGAATATGGTTTTTTCATGGAGAGTACCAAAAGTTCACTCTCAAAAATGTTAGGACAATTTGAAATGAATAATGACAGCGTACGCAGCACCCTCTAGACGTTACATGAAAATCAATATGAAATTTTGATTCCTCACGTCAAAAAAAACCGGGTACCAAATTTCGTGTAAGTAACTGCAATGGAACTCTTTGTGTGGTCGGATTTACTGGCCTCGAAATAAGCGCGGAGTTGATTCAAATGGATTTATTCGCTCCAAAAACACCCAGTATGACAAAAATGGCACACCTTGTAACGCCGTAAGCACAACTACAAAAACGCAAATCTTGAACCTAGTACTCACATGAAATATATTATTTCGTTACCTACCTACAAAAACGCAGGCACAGGTAAGAATTATTTCGAGTAGTGAGATAATTTCCCTTGGAAACCAGAAGCTGTTTCAATAATTGTGTTGGCCTATAAAACACTTTGGTTCAATAACATAATATCATTCTTCCGCTCTGGATGGGTTGGATTCAGAAGTGAACAGAATGGTCGGATAGCATATAAAAAGCGCAGTGTTTTTGCGGAGCCCGGGTTTTTGCGAGCCGTTCGCGTATCTATGAACTTTACGTTAATGACTGGGAATTTTGGTACAATTGCGCATACAGGGTGTTCTAAACAAACCAGACGAACATTGACAAATCACTAATTTATTACTGCAGTGAATATCGACGACAAATAAATGGAGAGCTAGGGGTTTTGCTGCATAACTTAATTTTTTCAAAAGTTATTTTTAAAGTGCGAACAAAAAATTCAATTTTAACACCCTTTATCTCGAAAACGAAGTATTTCTGGAATCAAGTTTGTATAGACTTTTATTCTGTAAATTGCAATCTCTCACAGGAGATTGATTGTTGCCAGCTTGTCAAAATACTGGTAACTTGAATTGTAAAGCACAATCGCAAAAATTGGAAGACGCTTGTATTAAAAAACACCAAAAGTTAATCAACTGTATAGAAGAGCAGAGGAAAACAAATACAGATCATTTGTGAAAGTGCATGCATTCATGAAGGCTATGAATAGCAAGAATAACGTAGTCAAGAAGGCATATGTATTCAAGGAAGACGTCCGGCTTGGGCCGCCTCGGCCTCGGCCCGCTGTTGACGCAGAACAGCCCGCCCACGCACACGCTGGCCGAGGTACAGGTCAAGGGGCTGAGCGTGCGTACAATTAATTCTCTGTTTTGCCATTTCGCGTCCTCGATATGGTATTTATAATAGTATATTATTAGCTTCAATTACAATAAAAAGTAGTTCAAAAAGCTGAAGAAACACGCTTTCATGGGCTGCCAAACTGCCAAAGAACTAAAAAATGAAATAACGAAAGTGTGTTGATGAATGCACAACTTAGGATATACTGATCGTAAGGTGCTAATATTTTTATTTTTCTTCTAATAATCATCATCAAAATCTCAAGAAAATCGCGTCATAAAAATATGAATTGGGGGTTTTTGGGGATGTTGAATATGAATCTGATAGAGAAATTTATCTAAAATGAGTCCCAATTATATTCTTTTTCCAAATAAATGCCTTTTTTGTACCCCTTAACATCGCATGCCAATGGTAATTAAAAATGTTCACTATGCCAAATACTTCATTATTCTAACATATAAACAGCACAAGAATTTCAAGAAAATCGCATCATTCATAACTGAGATATAAGTGTATACAGTGTGTCCCACTTACCATGCTCACCATGGGTATCTTTTTAACGGTGAGAGATACGAGGTCGGTTAAATGACACCAAATGTGGAGTTTGTCAGGGCCAACTATAATGTGGAAAAATATTCTGATAAAATCTATTCGATTTTGTTTTATACGCAAAAAAACAGATTTTGATCATTTTCATGTCTCCTCCGTAACTTCTTTATTCATGAAAATATTCGAATAGGAATTTCATATTCTCATGGCAGTTTTTCAAAGTGATTTCGAAAAAAATATGAAATTAATACCTACTCTTCTAGAATTTGAGATATCAGCACCAACTTTAGTTTTTCAAATGTAGGTCATAGCTCACTATGACTTGGTTACAAATGACTTTTTTTTCTCTTTCAGATGATATGTCACAGTAATAGTTTTGTGTTGATAACAACGGAGTTATCGTCATTTATACAAGAACAAAAAAATATTTGGAAGCCGCCATCTTGAATTTATAAATTTCAACAAAAAAATCATAATCTCCGACCTCAAAAACCCCTACTTACCAATTTTGAATGAAATCGGACCAAATCTTGTCCGCCATCTTGGAGCAGCCATTTTTTTTAATTTCAACAAAAATTCCATAACTCCGATTAACTTGAAATTTGGCAGGTGTTCATAATTTCGGTGACAATACATTATAGAATTTTTGTTGAAATTAAAAAAAATGGCTGCTCCAAGATGGCGGACAAGATTTGGTCCGATTCCATTCAAAATTGGTAAGTGGGTGTTTTTGAAGTCGGAGATCATGATTTTTTTGATAAAATTCATAAATTCAAGATGGCGGCTTCCAAATAATTTTTTGTTTTTGTGTAAATGACGATAACTCCGTTGTTATCAACACAAAACAATTACTGCGACATATCATCTGAAAGAGAAAAAAAAGTTATTCGTAACTAAGTCATAGTGAGCTATGACCTACATTTGAAAAACTAAAGTTGGTGCTGATAACTCAAATTCTAGAAGAGTTGGTATAAATTTAATATTTTTTTCGAAATCACTTCAAGAAACTGCCATGATAATGTGAAATTACTATTTGAATATTTTCAGAAATAAAGAAGTTACGGAGGAGACATGAAAATGATCAAAATCTGTTTTTTGCGTATAAAACAAAAACGAATAGATTTTATCAAAATATTTTTTCACATTATAGTTGGCCTTCACAAACTCCACATTTGGTGTCATTTAACCGACCTCTCACCGTTTAAAAGATACCCATTGTGAGCATGGTAAGTGGGACACACTGTATTCATGAGAAGCGGGAACTTGAAATTCAAAATTTCATTGTTTGAGTTTTTTCAATAAAAATATCTGTTCCAAAGATATGTGGTCCTGGAAAGTCGCAAAATGTAAGTTTACACTGAAATGAGAAAAAAATTCGGCTTTTGACTCTAGATTTCGGCTGTACTACTGAGCCGATTTTGGAGTTTTATACCGAGTGGGCCATTGAAAACGAAACAGCGGCTCTGTAGGTCGGCAAAACCAGATTATGAAAAAAATCTGAAACACGTCAGCTACATTTTCGAGGGGGACATCGTTCTAAAATATTTTCAGCCCTGCGGCGTTGCCGCTTCTAACAAAAAAGGAGCAACAACTTTGTTATTTCAAATGGAACACCTTGTATTTCATTGCATTTTTAGATTCTCCCCAAAGAGCTGATTTCATCAATGCATCACACTTTGGGTCTAGCTGGAATGATTCCAGGGATATTGGGTGTTCAAAATAGAGATTTTTCAACTTTAGGATTTTTTTGTGTCGAAACTATTCATTATTGGCACAGTTTAAGGAATGGGTACCATTCCTTAAACTGTGTTATTGGTCAAAACGGCTTTTATGTCCCTATCTCAACTTTTGATTTACTATCTACTGACATTTATTTGAAACAAACACAGGGTGGTTCAAGATTCAGACTTCTGATCACCCTGTATCTCTCACTCAATGTGTCTGGCATAATTTTCATTGTAAGCATACATAATCGGCTAAGATTTTAATCTAACTGCAAGTTGTAAAACTTCTAATGTGTGGCCTACCTAAATTACCTTGTATAGGATCATTATACAGGGTCGCATTGAAATGAGTGCAAATATTTCAAACCTTGAGAAAGCACGACGTATACTATCGAATGGCACCAATAAAGAAAATAGACCTCTTCTTCCACCCAAAGTTCTACATTGTATCAATTCTGACGTCACCTTTGTTCAAATTTCCGTGCGGAAGGCACAATTACGAGGAGTTCAATCAATTAAATTGTTTTAAAGTGGCGTACACGATTTTTTCTCGTTTTTCGTTCAATTTTCGTGATGAGATTTCTGGTTAATTACAAGAATTAGAAAAAATCTGATATCATGGGAATATTTGTTAGACTGTATCATATCGATTAGCTGAATATAATTATGTACTCATTTCAAAAACACCTTGTATTTATGAAGGAAACTGTGTCAACTGCAATCGAGAGAATGATCAATGAAGTTCAGCAGCAATAATAATTGAAAGTATATGCAATAATGTGTAAGTTAGCTAATCATATCGTATAGCAAAGACAAAAAATATTCGAGAAATGATGTCACTATTCAATTATTTCATGATTATTTTTAATTGTGAGTCCTCAATTTATAAAAAAAAAATCAGTAGCCCAGTATAAGTTATATATTTTATATTGCTTTGTCATCTTTCACAGTTAAATCTGTAACTAATAATATAATTGATCATTTTTCCAGCGACTCGCAGTTTCACGGCAAAAAATAATTCTGAAAAAGAAAGAGAATATGTTAGTGCATATTATTGTGCATACTGTCCGAAATGAGCTAGCCTCATGTTATTTTAATTCTCTAGGTTTGGACAATGGGGAAGACCACTGAGGGAAGAAATCCGTGCAAACCTCTTTCAATCGACGAATCATGATTTACATTTTATGTACAATCAATATTATGAGTTGAAGTTGAAGGGAATCGAACCTATATCGTTTTGAAATCAGCATATTTCATTCGATATTTCAAACAGCCTAATATGATGGTGGAGTCGTGACGTAAGAGTCCCGAACTGTAGCTATCTCTCTCTGATACCTCGTCATTCTGCAGTGTTGCAGTGTAATTGGTCAGTTCAAGGACAATAGGCGTGTTGGGACTAAGACGTCGCACCAGTCACACCAATGAATTGATGAAATTTCAAATGGCGCAGGAATTGTGTGTTTTGAAATGAACATATACTAATTCATTTTTTTCATCGTCTTAGTATGAATGAAAAAATTCAAAATTAATTCACTGGTAGTTTTTCAGTATAGAGTTCACGATAATGTCGTTTCAAAAAATCAGTGGTCTTCCCCATTCTGAAAGACCTGAAAGAGACCAATTTCTTAGGGGACACTTTCAAATGCTAACCTGGACAAGTGAATATCTGAATATCAGACTACAAGCATTAGCAGTGTTATTATATTCACGATTAATTAGAGGAAAATGAATACAAGAACCTGCTTGAGGCCTCGCCCATAAAGTACTTCGTATGGCTACGATCATTAATATACCTACTCTAATAATCTATTTTTCATTTTAGTTTTTTCATATCGCAAAAATCATTGGTTGACCCTTCTATCCGTTCATATTTTTTGTGAATCTTATGTAATTCTCTAGTAACGGTCATGTTCTTAAGTAACTCGCTACCAAAGATGTGAAATCAGTTGAATCAATTGGAGAGTTTCATTTCATGGTCTTTGGTATTGACTATATTGCACTGATCATGAAGACAATCCATCAGAGAGTATCACCGTTATTGATGATACGAAATATTTTTTGCAGCGTTTGCAGCATCCCTGAATGGGTTGTCAAAATACTGTAATCATCTTTTGTCTTGCTAACAATGGATATAGACACCCAATTGCTCCATGTATTTTAGCTGATACTGCTTGTGAAATTCAAATGCCTGCCCAGTTTTACTACCGAGAATTTTACCTAGAGCACGTCTGCCACCTCTGTAGCTTTGGAGAACAAAGGTCCTTGTAGTGAACTGTTGGTTAATTTTTCTCTGAAAAATTATCAGCTCTGTTTTCATATTATTTATACAAATCTTCGTCTCATCAAAATACGGAATTACCCATTATGTATTTGTAGAGAAGCTTTCGCGATGGATCTGTCATGATTTTTTCATGAAAGAGTATTACTGATGGAAATACCGAGCTTATACACGTGTGGCATGAATAATTTTTCTATAGAGAAACCGTGCGCTTGATTTTAAAATTGCGCTAGCCCCCTTTTTCGAGCATGTCCATTTTTCAGCCCGACCGAGGAAAAAAGTTTGTTGAATACCCATGAATCTATATGTGTATTCATTCACCCGGGTTCTCTATAAGAAAGTTGCCAGGCGTGTATATGGTGGACTTTGAAATTGTTGTCACTTGAATTTTCCTATACGAAAGTGGGCGTATCCGCGCTAATCGACAAAGTGATAAAAAAGACATTCTCCAAGATGACGTCATTCTAACTCGAGTGTTTATCATAGCTTGATCCAAATGACCTAGCATCGTAGTGACCGTTGAAATAAGTTTGATTTGCCGCTTTCCACTCATGGAGATCGAACTATAACACATTCTGTCGCTTCATTGTCTGTAAATATCATGAGTAGAGAGCGGAAAATGGTGCTACAATCATTGATAGAAACCCTGTATAATACGAACATGGTTGATCGGTTAAGTGACATTATCACATTACTATTACAATGACATGAATTAGTGATAACTACAAATTGGAAATAAAAATGTGATTGAAAGGTATGTAAGTTGTCACCTGAGGATTGTCATCGTAGAGACATTTAGCTATTTCTAGTGCTCCCATGCATTTGTTGTCTTTGGTGACCATAGCATCTTTACAATTTTTAATGCTCTCACTGCCAGGTCCAGCAACTCTTTCAGGAGCAACCGACTTGATAGTTTTTACACCTGTTTCCCAATCAAAACTACCTTCTTTTGTGAGCTAAAAAAATTGAGAACACACTGGTTGTTTTCTTGGAATTGATGAGAAATGTGAATTTACTCTTACCAATTTGTACGTGTTTATTATGCACAACATATAACACTGAAAAGAATAATACTGAATAGAGTAAAAATAATAGAAGGATATGAACAAATGATAATTGAGGTTTGAAAATATTTCAAGAGCACCCAAATGACTCCAACTACTGTTAAGCTATTAACCTAGTAACAGCAAAACACTTGTCAAGTTATAATGTAAAAATAGTGCTCAGTGAATATTCACAATGCCTGCATGAATGATCACTATTATAAATTCTATTCGATTACTGATTAAGTTTGCCCATACTATACCGACAATTCCACGACCTACATGAAACTCTCATCTCCTGCGATATAAAAACGAATCAAAAAGGTGTGCAATTCAATTCATTCATTTTTCTCCGGACATACATATAAGTAATTCATCAAATGAGTAGAATAAGATGTGGATATCCTCGAATTGATATCTATGAAAAATACCACTTCTTATGTGGGTTTCAAACAAACTTTTTATTGAAAAAAATACATAAATGAAGTATTTCCTATTGGAACTAAATGAAAATTACAGTTCTCGAAAAAACTTGCAGAGAAACAAAAAAAAATGACTTGAGTTTATTGTCCACTGAGAATTGTCATGAAATTAATCCACAAATGCATTACTATGTCACTATCATCAGTAATTTCATTTGCTGTTGAAGCTGAAGTTAGTTTTCTTTTGTTTATTGTAGGCAAACTTCTTTAGAATGATAATTAGGTGGAATGTATGGCAAGAAATCAAGTTTGTGCTTCCTTTTCACTTCTTTGACAGGTTCCTTGGTCTGGATACATTGAATCTTAAGTAATATCGCACAAGTTGATTTTTCTCTTCAAGGAATCTGCTTGCATTCTTCTGAACGGAGACAGCATTGCTTCTTGTTCAGTTGATATAGACAGAACATGGTATTAACTACTAAAATCTGAACATGAAAATGGTAAATTCAAGATTAATTGATGAAAACATCCTGTAACTCATTTGATTGCCAACGTCACCAATTGTCAATGAAAACTGAAAAACTTCAAGACAAATACGACTTGACTATTGAAATAATCATATCTTATGTTGAAAACGGGAGCAGAATCGGTCCCGAAACGTCCAAAGATAAGTGAAAAACTGATATTTTTCTATGTACCTTTATTTCTCTTCTCCAAACTTTTTTCAATACAAATTGTCACTGACATGCTAGTGAATTTTTCTTTTAGGCTCTCTGATGGGAAAATTCTTTAAACGCAGTGACATTTTGGGGCGAATCATCTGATTTGTCCTTACTACACGTATATTGAAGTAGTATTCATATTTTTATTTTATAGAAACGAGGAGAGAAAATCTCAAAAAGTTTGAAATAATGAATGTACCACCTCCTCGATTAACCTACAGACAATATATTAAATACATCTGTATATTATCTAAAAATAACTATAAAAAACATGAAATGTTGCCTAAGTATTTTATCGTATAATCAAATTTCCAAAATTTCTGAATTCTCAATCAACCACGATTTAATTTTTGTCTTGAATCCAAAAAAAAATTTTTTTTCAAAGACGGAGGCAATTTATTTTAAATTTTTCAACTATATGAATGGCATGTTGTTGCATTAAAGTTGAAGATAATTTTTCAGTTGATATCCAACCATCAATTTTATTTTTGGTGTCATATTTATGTTTTACATGATTATAGTTTTTTAAATGTTTTGTTGTATATTGTTTATGTTTTATAAAACAATTGATCAACAGAAAGAATGTTATAATGTTCGAAGAGGATTTTGGAAGACTAATCAGAAGGTTTTTTGAAGATAATTTTCAAGGTTAATTTTTTAATATATGATGAGTGGTTTCAACTCTTGTTCATATATACCTCCCCAGCCTATTTTACCATAAGCCAGAATAGATTGAAAAAGACTATAATAGAAACTGATAATTACATTTCGACTGTCAATGTTTCTCAGTAACATCTTGTTTCTTGTCACCTGTTGTGACATGATCTCCATGTGACAGTTTCATATAGGTCGTTCAATAATTGTCACAATAAATATAATTCGTGCTCACAATACTATCGAAAATTCTGTCAGAAATCTCGAACTCGATCAAATTGCTTTGAGGTGATAATACCACGAGTCCTCAGGACAAGCAAGTGGATCTCTTTGATTGAATTACTATGAAATCGATAGTATTCGAGTACTCGTGGTATTAACCCTGCATATCTAATAAATTATCAGTACTTTTTCCATGTTTCCATGATCTAATTTTGTTTTGTACTATGTGAGCTTATAGGCACCTAATTTTTTGGGTCAACTCAGTTTCCAACAATAATCGTAACATAAGGAAAAAGTGTATAATTATTCTAATAAATTGTAATGGATAATTTAAACTTGAAATACCTGTGCAGTTTTGCCCTGTTCGAAGTTTCCAGCTCTCATTGCGTCTAATTCCTCTGAAAGATATATTCCATAAGTAACTTTTGCATTTTACCACCAATAAAACAAAAATTGTTACTATAAATGATTTTACCACTTGATGCTTTTGCTTTACTCTGGCATGTATTCCTAACCAATTTCTGGGTTGCTTTCAATTGTTTTTCGGACATCTACAATATTTTGAATAATCAGTTTCAATAGATGTATGGATTTTTTTAAATACCTCTGAATATCCATAATGAATGAATATCAATAAGTTGATGGAAAGTATCACCCACTTCATGGCTTAGCACATTTCAGTGAATATTCATGAGCTAAAACAGTTTATGATAAATTTATAGTTGCACAAGTTGCATGTTGTATCCCACTAAGTAATATTCTAGGGTATAATTATTTATAATCAAATCGCTTTTCTCAATGATTTAGTATCAAGAAAATTTTTATTAAATGTACGATAACAAAACATTCTAATTTATAATTCAATAGTTTCGCATCCTAACTAGCACTTGAAGAGGAAATGGAAATAGTATGGTATTAAATGAAAATTAGTGAATGAGCGACCAGAAAGTATATCGATTATTTTAATTATTGTTGGTCTGTTATTATTATTACCTAATCATTTGAATCGCTGAAAAAAGTATCGAATAAGTAACCAGATTTAAATATCTTCGGTTTGAGCAGATTCTTGATGATGATAATGAACTTAATGGCACTCATTATTAGGCTCCAATTTCTGAAAACAAAAATAGCTCATTTTATTAGACATCAATATTGTACAATGAAAATAAATAAGTATAGCTAATTTAATATTCATTTTGAAACTACTTGATATTTGACTACTTTCAATTGAGGAGGTGAAATATTATTTTTTCTAGATTTCTCGGAATTTTCTCCAGGTTTCCATCTGGCAATCCAACTTGAGATAGAATCAATGACACACTGCGAAGAGAATCAATAGAATTATGCGATCGATGGCAATTGAATTGTTTCCTTTTGTGATTTCCTGTTATTATTATAGTTGTACTCATTTATATACCAGGTGGTCCACCTTCGATAACTCTCGAAAATATGATTTTACTGAAAAACAACGAAACACGTTGATTTTTATTTGGAGGGGGACACCGTTTGACGCAAAGAAGATAATACATAGTTCAACCCCTTACTTCCCAAAGCAAAGCCCTCTATAATCTGAATAGGAAATAAGGGTAATGTTATACATCATTACGAAGGTAATTCAATTCTGACACTAGCAGTGCACAGTTTTTTGAATTGCAACAAGCCGTTCAAGATATAATGGAGATCGGATTTTATGTTGTTTAATTGTTACTAAATTAATGTGCGAAATGGGTTATCAAATAGGTATTCACAAAAAATTTCAAAATGGCCTTCATTGACCCCTAGACAGTGGTAGAGTATATTTGAAAATTTCTCATGTACGTTATTTGAGAATGTTTATCTAGTTGTTGCCTGGCATTCAATCCTTGTTCTTCTTTCCCAACCGTCCATAGATCAGTAGGCTATGTTAAAACGTATTTGAATTGACCCCTAAAGAAAAAGATCGTTGGCTGCCAAATCTCGCGAGCTTGCTGGATATTCTTCAGTCCTTTACGACCTCTCTATTTGTTTGGGAAAGGACCCCGCACTTTTTCTATATAAAAATGGCGTTCTGTCGAATTCTGTGAATTTCTGGTATATTATAGAACTCGACCTAATGATTAAATATGCCGAGTCCGAATCCGATCCTATGACCAGTTTTTGAGATACAGGGTGTTGAAGTTGAGAAATGCCCCCTTTTCATTTACCCATATCTCCAAGGAAAGACAAATGAATCAAAATTTTCTGCTAGCAGTTTTTCAGTTCAACCTATAGGTACAACAACCATGTACAGAATCAACCAAAGCTGATCATTATCACAGGGTGATTCACATATGAATTATTGTGTTATTTTCAATTTCTAAATATCGAGACTACAACTTGATGAAAATTAAAAAATCAAAATTATCATTCGATATGTTCTTCTTACATGAAATGGATTCATAATATGTATTGATTATACATGGTGTTTCGTGAATGCTGATGTTTAGAAAACAAAGTTTAATGAGCCACCTCGTATTATTGGGTTGATTTAGGCTATTGATTATAATTTCTGAGGACTTATTTTGATGCATATCATGGTATACAGAGTGATTTATTGATTGAAAAATTGTCAACTACAAAAAAATATCAAAAAACCACTGTTTTTTCCATCACACTCTAATTCTAGATTTTCGCCGTTAAGGTCAGATTTTTTATTCATCAATATTCTAAGTATTAATACCTCGATGACATGACGAATTTTCAGCTCCTTGCTATGACTAGTTTTCCATATATTAAATCCATTCAGATTAAATACCTACTGCTTCGAAACGAAAATATATTACTTGTAGAAAATATTACTGTTACTGAGATATCTCCATTGGAGACTTGAAAGAATGACAAAATATACAGTATACAGGGTGTCCACTACACCATGGATCATATATATTCTAGCTTGTGATAAACAAGTTTATAGCTTATCAAAATACCACAATTTGAACTTTTATATAAAGAATTCAATTCCTATTTGTATGTTTCAAGCTACACATGAAGACAGGAATTAATTTTTTTCATTATAAAAGTTCCAATATCTCGAAATCCGTGAGTTTTTTGCTGAGGATGTGGTTTCCTGATAGGTTATGAATATGTTTATCACCAGCTAATTTTGCAGTATGTGCAGTATTTTGCAGTATGTATTGTTGATATTGTTCCATGGAAAAATTAGAAGATTGATTTGAAATGCCCATTTCTTGCCTCTACAACCCACCTGGTGCTAGTGATTAAACGTGCTCTGTTTGTTTCGATGGTTGTGAGTTGCGTTTGATTCAGGGGAAGAAACGGTGGCATATGATAATGAAGACCAATATCTTGTAACAAAGCGATAGAGTCTCTATAACCTCTATCGACTATCACTATGTCACCTTCTTGAAACCATGTCCTCATTCCATTTAAGTCATTTTGAAGCTCGTGCTGCAAAATGGTTGCATCATTATTTCTTGCATCAGAAAAGTACGGCCCATTGATTGCTAAGATGTACCCATCGGGAGCTACTATAATTTCTGGCCTAACAAGATGTTCATTTTTATGGAAGCAATAAGATTGTCTCAGTATCCTGTAGTTACTACTCTTTTCAATCTTGTTAAAGGTGCAGTCTATATAGACAATTGCTTTTGGGATATTGGGTGGAGGATTATATAGCTATTTGGTATACGGAGAGATATGTCTGTTTATATAATATTCTCTGGTTATTGAGTTGAAACCGATATTATTGGGTACACATCTCTGCAACAATGATATTCTCACATGTGAAATGATTAAGCTAACTGTTTGTCTAGAAGGGTAGTTCAATGAGATTTTCAAAAAGTCATCTGAAACTCCATGTTTCATTTTGATTAGGAAAGTGAGTAAATCTTTTTTTTATACTCCTTATGTTCCCATACTGCTTAACTACATCACAAAATTCAAATAGGATTTGAAAATCTTCTTTAGAAATAGATGTCAAACTTTTAAATTCCTCTCCTGTGGAATTATCAATATCTTCCCAGTTTCTAACATGTATTTTTTCATAAGCAATTGTTCTCATTCCTTGTATGAATTGGTGAAGATTTGATATTAAATATGGTTTATTAACGAAATTCAATCCTCCAAGCAAATGATGTAACAAAGCACCGCGACGATCAAGGTGGTGATTACAAATTCTCAAATAATCCAGAACATAGATATCAGAAGCAACAAAAATGTTCACTCTACATCGTAAAGTTATCCTCTGAACATTTTGACGAGCACGCGATATCGGGTTATCATATGACTTGACAAATAAAGATTTGTGTATTAAAACTTTAGCAGTTACATTAGGAATACAAGAAATATTTTCGTGATGTCTATTAATAATCTGTTATTTCGAAGCAGTAGGTATCTGATGGAATAGTGGGTAATCACTTTTTTATAATCAAAGATGGAAATCAATTTTCCATATTCTTCACTGGTTAAACGAAAAACTAGTGATAGCAAGAAGCTGAAAATTCTTCATTCTATTGAGGTAGTCATACAAACATTTGACATTTCATTTGTGCAGTGGGCTAGACCTATTCGGGATACCACTTGAAAACAATACGCTGGAAACTATTCCTCTAGGGTGGCGAGGAAACGAGTTAGTTATATTATACAGGATCTCACGGATCTCGAGATATTGGAACTTTTATCGAAAAAAATGAAATCCTGTCTTCGTGTGTAGTTGGAACATACAAATAGGGATTGAATTCTTTGTATAAAAGTTGAAGTTGTGGTATTTTGGTAGCTATAAACTTGTTTATCACCAGCTAGAATATATATGATCCATGGTGTAGTTGACACCCTGTATACTGTATATTTTGTTTTCTTTCAAGTCTCCAATGGAAATATCTCAGTAGCAGTAATATTTTCTACAAGTCATATATTTTAGTTTCGAAGCAGTAGGTATTTAATCTGAATGGGTAATCACTTTTATTATATTCAATATATGGAAAACTAGTCATAGCAAGGAGCTGAAAATTCATCATGTCATCGAGGTATTAATACTTAGAATATTGATGAAAAAAAAATCTGAGCTTAACGGTGAAAATCTAGAATTCGAGGGTGATGGAAAAAACTGGTTTTTCAATATGTTTTTGTAGTTGGCAATATTTTCAAACAATAAATCACTCTGTATACCATGAAATGCATCAAAATAAGTCCTCATAAATTATAATCAATAGCCTGAATCAACCCAATAATACGAGGGTGGCTCATTAAACTTTATTTTCTAAAGTTCAGCATTCACGAAACACCATGTATAATCAATACATATAATGAATCCATTTCATGTAAGAAGAACATATCGAATGATAATTTTGATTCCTCATTTTCTATCAAGTTGTAGTATCGATATTAAGAAATTGAAAATAACACAATAATTCAGATGTGAATCACCCTGTGAAAAAGATCAGCTTTGGTTGATTCTGTACATGGTTGTTCTACCAAAAGGTTGAACTGAAAAACTGCTAGCAGAAAATTCTGATTTATTTGTGTTTTCTTGGAGATGTGGGTGGATGAAAAGGGGGCATTTCTCAACTTCAACACCCTGTATCTCAAAAACTGGTCATAGGATCGGATTAGGACTCGGCATATTTGATCATTAGGTCGAGTTCTATAATATACCAGAAATTCAGGAAATTCGACAGAACGCCATTTTTATATAGAAAAAGTGCGGGGTCCTTTTGGGATAGCCAATATTTCACTTGTATTACGAAATGGGGTTGTGCACTATCTTGTTATCATTATCGAGTTCCACGAGAGAAAGGCTATCTCAAAATTCTCAAACAAATCGGTAGGTCGTAGAGGGTCAATATAATGGCCAGCACGCTCGCCGAACTATTGAGGTCTAATTGATCGTTAAGTAAAATGTCAAAATTTTTGAATTTGTTGATTTCTAATGATTCAAAATGATCGAGTTTCATTCCTTCATTTTCTACATGTAAAATTTCGCAAATCCACTGACCCCTTTACTTGCTGAAATTTTCATGGATAACCTAGAGCTAATAATACATAAACATGCATTGATAAAACAATTTTTGTATTGGTATTGATACGTAGATGACGTGATAGTATGCTTTAAAGGAACCAATAGACAATTAGACAGTTTTCACCAATTTATCAATACTATTCAACCAGACATAAAATTCACAATTGAAATAGAAACAGAACAGTCAATCAATTTCTTAGATTTGACGGTAAGTAAAATTAATAATAAACATGATTTTTCAATTTTCCATAAACCTTCCCACACTGATATCACTATTCATAATAATTTAACACACCCTTATCAACATAAAATTGCAGCATATAATAGTATGATACACAGCCGAGTGAATGTCCCTCTTTCAGAAGTAAATTTCAATTAAGAACTCAATATTATAAAACAGATAGCAGTCAACAACGGATAGAACGTTAATTTGATAGACAGTATTCTTTCTAAAAACGTTAATTTGATAGACAGTATTCTTTCTAAAAAACTTCATAATAAAGTTATTCAAGAAGTTTATCCTATCCAGAATAATAATCAAAATTATAAAACTTTAACCTATTTTGAATCATCAACTGAAAAATTAGCTTCATTTCTACATAAACAGGACTCAAAAGTAGCATATAGAACAAATGACACGTTGGGAAGGTTTATCAAGAATAATAAAGACAAAACTTTTAAATTCGAAAAATCAGGTGTGACTCAACTGTGGATCTTGTCCTAAGGTATATATTGGTCAGACAGATCGTACGATTAATCAGCGCATTCATGAACATAAGACGAATTTTATGAAAAAAAAACTAATTCAACATACGCCAACTATATATTAAATAGAAGAAAACCATAGTTTTTATGATAATTTCGAAAAATTTTACATGTAGAAAATAAAGGAGTGAAACTCAATCATTTTAAATCATTAGAAATCAACAAACCCAAAAATTATGACATTTTACTTAACGATCAATTAGACCTCAATAGTTCCCCATTGTTCAATCCGTTTTCTTAGTAGGTAATAATATTTATTTGCTATCAACCCTTTCAAGTTAATCCGTTACACCGTAATTTAATGTAAATATTGTGCCTAATTTCTGAAAATAGAGGTTTATCGATCCTATCCAAAGGTAATTAATCCTTCAAGTTGGGAAAGCATTGTACCACTATATCACCTGACGAAGCTACTGTGTTAGCGAAAAATATGGTGTGTGTAAGAATTTTGTGGAAATCTTATCGTTTGTGAAGTTTTTACATTTCATAAAAAAAGTTATGTCTATATTATCATATTTAAAATTCCTTTTTTCTTCCAGGTGTACTCGTGGGGCTCGAACGCGTACGGCCAATTGGGCCACGGCCGGCACGTTCGCGAGTGCCCGCGCCCGCACCCGGTGGCGTCGCTGGCGTCGCGACGCGTGGTCGAAGTGGCGGCCGGCCAGTACCACGGCGTGGCGCTGACGGATGCCGGCCGGGTGCTGACCTGGGGGTGGGGCGTGCACGGCCAGCTCGGCCACGGCGGGGGGGACGACGAGTGGCGGCCGCGGGAGGTGGACTTCCCGCACGCCGTCAAACAGGTAATAATAATAATAATAATAACAATCAATATAAATGAGTTATGCAGATGATACAGCATTAACCCGCGAGGGACCGCGCGGGGTAGAAAATACCACAGACAATATCAAATTACGGTTTTTTGGCTCAATCTGCACGGCACTGAAAAATCACGCCAGCCCAGTGGCTAAATATGATCAATTAACAGTCTTTGCATGTGTTTCGTCATTAGTTCTGCACACATCTTAGTAAACATTTGGTGAATTGTGCCTGGGGTATATCCTTACCCCACGCGGGAGAGAATTGAAATCTTCTATATCTCAATTCGTGTCTGTACAAATGGAAATTCAACCTCAAAACGAGCAGCCTGCAATGGTAGTCAAATTCTCATATTATCCAGGAGAGAAAAAAGAGAACCAATTAAAAAAAGGGACGTGCGTATATTATTCATGCGTTCATTGAAATTCATTATTCAATTCAAGTATATCAATCAAATTAAGTTCGTTCTTCATTAGTGCTGTTTTATTATTGTACTAAATAATGCAATTCCACATCGGACAAGAGTTTTTTTCGTCTCGAAGTCCTTAAATTCAATCAAAACCGATGGGGTAGATTAGCACCCCACGCGGTCCACGTTTAAGTTTCTATGGGCGCGGTCCCTCGTTGGTTAATATCACATCAGCAAACCAAAACTGCCGCCATTCAACAACTCCAACAATTAACAAACCAAATCCATATTTGGTTCAACAAATGGAGACTTCAAATCAACCCTCTGAAAACGGAAATGATAATTTTCAATCATACCTCATCCATCAATTCTCCCACCATCATTATCAATAATCATCAGATTCATTCACGCTCCACTGTAAAATATTTGGGTATCCATATTGACCATAAGCTGAATTTCAATCACCACACAGCAATGGCAACAAACTAAGTAACATCAGCACTGCAAGTAGAATATACAAATCAATCTGCAGACCAATATTCGAATATGGCCACCTACTATATCTGAACATTGGAATCCCAGCAATGAAGAACCTGCAAATCGCCAAAACCTCCGCACTTCGAACCATCACTAGAATGCGTCACCCAGACAATGTGCTAGAGAACCCACCCAATGATCTGTTATATTCCACGACCAAGGTGCAGAAGATATAGGAAAGACTATACCAACAAACAAATTTACAGAAAAGTCTCTGATAACGATACTCCATGATCTAACTGAAATCCCATAGATGTTATCACTTACCTGAAATCATTTTTTTTAACAACAACTGTTTTCACTTTTCAATGCACTCAAAGGAGATAATATTCCAAAAAGAGATAAGACCATATTGGCTGAAGGACTCAGGTCGATGGCCACTTGATTGAATTGTATATTTGTTTACATTTACATATATGAATATGAATGAATATGAATAAAGTACTTTATCATTATTATTATTATTATTAATGAGTAGAGGTGGATTCATGCAAGATCAACTAAATTATAATGAATTTAAGATTCAAACGAATTAGCATTGTGCGAGTAGAGTTGGCGATATAAATATAAATTTGAAAGATGACAAGAAGGAAACTGATGAATACTTAGATATACTCAGTGAATATAACTGTATATCAATCATAAATAATGTTGATACTCGTATACGAGGGGAGTCAGCGAGTAGAATTGATCATATATTTCTGAATTCTAAATCAACAGATCTCCAAGATAAATGTCTATCTGTGGCATTTGATACAAACATATCAGATCACAAATCCATAATAACCGGTATGCCTATAGTAGATAAGACGAATCCAGAAAAAAAGTATTAAATCTATCAAACATTTCATTGAATACGAACACTTAAAAAAGGATATTAACAACCATGACTGGAGTGATTATTATGATATCAAAAATCCAAATATTTTAATAAAGGAACTAAGTAGAACATTGAAAATATTAATACAAGAAAATACGAAAACTGTGAAATTATCAAAAGATAAAAGGCCAAGAAGAGACTGGATAACCCCAGCTCTGATATTGTCTGTTAACCGAAAAAATACATTGTTCAAGCAATATAAACAAGATCCGAACTGTCCAGTGAAGAGGGAAACATTCATTAGATACCGTAACATAGTGAATAGATTGATCAAAACTGCTAAAATTAACTTTTACGAGAATGAAATAGAAAAAAATAAGGAAAATTCAAAAAATCTCTGGAAAGTTGTAAAATCATTTGGGAATATAGAAAGAGAAAACAAAATTAAGGAAATTATTGATAAAGAAAACAAATTGCTAACAGATGACCTACTTATTGCAAGCGCATTTAATGAATATTTTGCAAATGTAGGGGTATCATTAGCGAAAAAAATCAAAACACCGATAACTGAAAAACCTCCACAAACATCGACGCCAAACTCTTTATTTTTACTCCCTCTGAGTGAAAACGAGATCAAAGAAATCTTAAAGAATCTGAAAGTAAAAAAAGCACCGGGCTTTGATGACATAAGAAGCGAACAATTAAAAAATATATCGAACGAAATATCACCATTATTGTGCCACCTCGTGAATTGTGTCTTTGAAACTGGAGTATTTCCGAATGACTGTAAGATTGCTGTTGTTGTACCCATTCACAAAAAAGGCGATAGAAAAGATATAGCAAACTATAGACCTATATCGCTCATATCAGCATTCGCAAAAATAATCGAGAAGGCCATAAAACTCAGATTATCGCACTTTGTGAAAAAATATAATATAATTTCTGAAAAACAATTTGGATTTAAAGAAGGAACATCCACCAACGATGCAATATCATCATTAACTAGCGAAATATATAATTCAATCGACGAAAAAAAGCCAACATTATGCGTCTTCCTGGATCTCGCCAAGGCTTTCGATACTGTGGATCATCTGCAGTTGTTGGAGGCTTTGGAGAATGCAGGTATGCGTGGTAGAACTCTCTCACTTTTCGAAAGCTATTTGAATGCTAGGACACAGATAGTAAGAATCGGAAATGCACTCAGCACTGAAAAGAAAGTGACTTGTGGAGTACCACAAGGCACGGTATTAGGGCCACTATTGTTTTCAATATATGTCAACAACCTTCTTACTTTAAACATCAAAGGGAAAATATATAGTTTCGCAGACGATACTGCGATTCTATATACAGCGCCGACTTGGTCAGATCTGAAATTGAAGGCGGAAAGGGATTTGGAGCGAATTATCGATTGGTTCAATCACAAAGTATTAACAGTAAATTTTGAGAAAACAATTTTTTTACCTTTTGCGAGTTATAAATCCTCACTGCCAAACTTCCAGACTCTGGATATTCAAAGCCAGAATGAAATTATCAAAATAAAGAGAGCAAATAGTGTTAAATATCTTGGAGTTACCATAGACCCAAATCTCAAATGGGATAAACATATTAGTAATGTAACTAATACATTGAGAACAATATTGTTCAAATTCAAACAGTTATATAAACTTATAAATATTAGATATTTGAGAGTTGTATATTTTGGTCTCGTCGAATCCCGTTTACAGTACGCAATACTAATAAGCTGGGGCGGCACATATTATACACATATGCAGAAACTAGATATACTACAGAAGAAAATTCTAAAAGAAATGCTTGGAAAACCAATGACCTACTCCTCAAAATGTACATTCACTGATGCAAAAATAATGAATTTGAGAAAATTATACATGTTCAGTATGATCATTTATTTGTATAAAAACAAATATACATTACAGAGAATCAATCATCCCTATCTAACTAGAACAAAATCGAAACACTATGTGACAACAAATGCAGCCGAAAAGTCCATAGGTCAGCAAAATTTTCAATACTTAGCTAATAGGATTTTCAACTATTTACCAGAAACTTATAAAATGTATATTCTTGAAATCAATTCAATCGAATATATCAAGAAAAAATTTAAAGTATACTTACTGGAGCTAGACATTGACATTGTAGCTAGTATCATAGAAATGTAGAAACGTACATAATATATAATTATGGCTCAGGGCATATGCTAGTAGACTCTTTTTTTCCATACATCCCATGACAACCTGCTGAGGTTTTATGGGTTTGGTTGTTTATTTAATACAATATAGATCAAAATGATCGAAATTACTACTTATACTACTCATATACTTTGTCATTTGTTATCTTTTTCATCTTACTTTTATATTAGGAATTTTTTGTTTTAATAAACATATATTATTATAGTGAGTATGAGGTGATATATTTCGCTCCCACAAAATCCGTTGGCAAAATCGTAACTACAAGTCGATAAGTTGTTATAAGATGCTGAGTTAAACATCTGATGTGTTACGTGGTAGTTGTGAAAAAACTTCAGCAATCGCATCACTAGTGTGGCCGTTATTTGGTTGTTTATCCAAATGGACCGTCTGCAAGAGTAACACAGAGGTCAAAATCGAGTGAGTTCCCCTTCTGTTACCAACTTTTTACTTTTGTTGTTTATTGCCACGCACACATCCATATCCATCCGTCCGTACGAATACGAATACGTTTTAGTAGTAGTCTCCGATATTTGACGGAGTGGACGTAGTGTCTTACATTTGGATTTACACTTCTGGCGTACGTCAGACCCGCGACTCGAGAATCAAGAATTATGACAGCCAATATTACACTAGAAGATGTTCATACCCTGTTGATGTCACTAGTTTCCAAAACGGATCAAACTCAAGAAACTCTAAACGAAATAAAAAGTGATTTGAATAATCACAAGCATAAGATTGATAAGTTAGAACTTGAAAACAGTGTACTGAAAGAAAAATTATCCTTACTCGAAAATAAGAGCAGAAAAAATAATTTAGTTATTTTTGGATTACCTGTTTTCAACAGACACCAAGACGTAGTTGAACATATTCAAAAACTGTTGGACGTACAATTGACGGATATTGATTTCAATAATTTTTATCCATTGAAAGGAGCAAAAGATAACACAAGCAACTACAAACTGGAGTTTATCTCATATAGAAAGAAAACTGAAATTTTGAAAAATGCATATA